CTGTCACAATAATTTAAAAAAAATATCATCATAAACCACGTCTATTATGCGAAACGAAATTCGATCTTACCAAATACCACGCCTATACAGATATCGCCAAGTGCCACACTTACCACGTAAAATACCGCGGCATCACCGGTGACTAACCGCGCCCAAGCGCGCCACCAGAGGCAGCCGAGTGCCAAAAGTATCACGCTTGCCACGCAAAACGAAAGTATATGTCACCAAGTGCCACGCCTACCACCACCCGAAACGAAGGTAGATATTTTCAAGTGCCACTCTTGAGAGTGAAACGAAGGTGTAAATATCGTCAAGTGCCACGTCTGTCACGCAAAATATGGCGGGGTCAACCGCGCCCAAACACAAAACGAATGCGGAGTTGGCGCCGACTGGATTGTATACTTGGATAACCATCTCAGCTCCTCACTGGTCAGCAACCATGGACAGTAGATTTCACGGATCTCCCCCTAAATAAAATAACTTCACGTACTGTAGGTAAGTCAGGTAGGTCACTAGGGCACTGCCTAATTGTCCTTTCCGACAAACGCAATTCACAAACGGGATGCTCTTCCCTTCCGATGTTGATTCCCAGACAGGTGGGTCTGGAATTAGGGAACCAATCCCAACTTATGGCATGTTTAATTGAGAAATAATGATAAATCATTGGATTTAGGGTACCCCATTTTCAAACAAACTCACTGAAGCAATTCCGAAGCAGCGAAAGCTAGGACCAGTCGCAGTAGCATTGCTTTGGTAGGTTCAAGCATGGGTCTGGAACCAAGATGGAAGCAATCGAAAGGAAATCCATCTGTGGAAATGGGGCTCAGTGAAACTCTCGTGCCTATTTCATCCTGCATCCGATTCCATCATCCAACCCGTTTTTGCATGATCTGGTTGTATTGTTGGTCAGGCTGGACGCCCCGTCTTAGGTCGTCCTTGAATCAATATGTATACAGAAAGCTCCAGTTTCCGGTTGGCCAATGAAATACTTGCAGAATTTCTTGCATGTCATTCAAGGAGGCTGCCAAATGTGGAAACTAAAGCCCTGTGAGTGCAGAAGATTGGAAACTAAGATCTTTTATTTGTTAAGCTTCCACTGTCTCTCTCAGCCATTTTGGCGCGATCCAGTCTTCCACCGCAATTGGCACGTTGACAGCTCATCTGTAGGGGTGACAACCTTTGGCTGGTCTTTGCCAGCGCACCTCCTGCAGGTTTTGGGCCTTCTAAGGCATCACTACATCCAATTCTCAGGCTGAAACTGTACAAATCTGGTTGAAGATCACTTGCACCAGCATCTTGGAGAGGTATCCAACACCACCCTGGAGCGGCAAATCATCCCATTCCTCTTCCAGAATAAATCTAAGAAGCAGCCAAGATCAGCCAAGTATGTTGCCTTTTATGTTGAATCAAATTATATCCCCTTTAATTAATTCCATCAGATGTGGCCCATGAGTCAAAACCCCGGCACCATGGGTACCCTAATATAGTTTAGTAATGGATGTTTATTCCAGTCATATGGCGATGTCATAGGTTCCCATCCCCATATCACCAGTGTTGCTGGTCCATCTGCTGAACCAGCCTGGTAGGCCAATTTGTAGGGCAGCTGGTCCTCTTGTTGCCGAAGGAATTCAAGCTCCGCAGCACTTCCCCTAGGACAACCTGCTAGTTGGATCCCAGCTGAAGCCAATCGGAAACAACTGCCATTTGGAGAACCTTTACCATCAATTTCTCACCACATGAGCGGAAATTCTGAAAAAAATGGGATGAACTGGCCGTCTGAAAACAAAGGCGCACGCAACAACCCCGACAGTTTCACAACACCTGGGAAATTTATAGTTGGAACCCCGCACAAAATCAAACCTGTGGGGATCATTGGAGGTTCAACCAGAACATGACCTGAGAAGCTTCTAAAGTCATCATGTCCTCTCGGCTAGGTCCCGTCCAAAACCTAAGGCTTGCTCTTTACCCAGAAAATCTCAAATGATTCAGTTGACGCCCCTGCTGCTGAATTGATTCCTCACTTCAATGGCCGAGAAAATGGGTCCTTTGGCCTTGAGAGTTGAGCATCTGCCAAGAAACAATGCGTGTGGGTGTGCAGATTGCCAGCAATTCCCCGATGGTCGAACCAGCGGTTTTTCAGCAACGCAGCGGAGATCAAGGAGAAGCCATCGATGAATTCCCAGCCATTCCTGGGTGGGTTGACATGGGTTGATTGGGTGAAACCTCCAGGGCGCTCCTGATGTGAATTGTCTGCGAAAATGTGCCGGAAACCCCATATTTGCCCTACAAAAGAAACATGTTAAATCATGCAATCCGGACTACCACATCTTCAGGAAAAAGGCTCCAACATTCAATCCCATCTTTGCTAAGCATAACCTTCGGGTGCTTCCATGATAACCTACAAACCGTCATGCAAAAAAACAGAAAGCAAACCCTGTTTCTTAAATCTAGATCAAAATAAGATTAAGAAGGGACCCAAGAGTTGTGGTCCTGTCATGTCCAGTCAAGATTACCTGAAAGTCCCCAAAATCCTATGCTTCCCATGGAGATGTCGGGGGAACACCATTGGAGAAATGCCGCCAACCCAGGTGCTGTCTGCACGTCTCGAAAGCTAAGCGGTCCAATCGCCACTTCAAGACCTGCCAAGGTCCAAGGCAGCCCCGCATTCTCCTGGTTGGTTAATAAGGTATCCGTTACTTATGGCTATTTTTTCCCAATCAACACTGCTCAGGGAATCTGTTATCTGTTACTAAGGTTTTGCAGCCGATAGGGGGCCTTTGGAATTTGATTCTAGGGTCCTTGGCGATTTGGTTCTACTTCTGATTGTGTGATATATGTTTTCCATTATTTATTTCTTTATCTATCTTATCTATCAAGGTAGGTGGCCTTGGTATATACTAGTGAAAATGATCCGAATTTATAGGAAAGATCGTCTTGCGGTAGTGTCCCTTGGATGTTTCAATATTATTGATTTTTATCCGTCATTGGGTAGTCATGCCAAGATGGGGATTGATAATTAGTCTCTCCATCCATTTACCCTTCTATTCGTGGAAGTGCCAGTCAGAACAAACGATCACCATTCGATCGTAGTTCAGATAGTTTTTTTTTTGGGTTGGGTACTTCGATAATATATAATATATATTATATCATAATATCTATGTTTTGAAATTGATCTGGGGTCTCTGGAAATGGATTCTTCGGTCTGTCCATTTTTTTATATATGATGGAATTGAATTGTATTGTAGGTACCTTATTATGAGGTAACCAATTGGTTCATTAAATGGGTATCATCTTAGCATTGGTTATTTAATGCAACTATACCATGCCCAGTATCGGTTACGGTAATTTTTTCTATTGTATTCTTTGGATAAACTGGGGTCCACTACCATTTCTGAAGGGTACCCAACCAATTGCTGGATCAAAATGGAAAAGGTATCAACCACGCTCTTGTTTTTTCTAGGGTGGTGCCCCCATATACCTTTGGCAAAAAGCCACCAATGTTATCCCTGATGATCATTCTTTTTTTTTCAAGTACTAAATTTCCCCCATTATTTCTACGTCTACATCATATATCCTTTGAATGCAATGTCCAAGTATGAATTTGCCGAACTCAGGGCGCAGAAATCTGCACCCTGAGTTGCCTGAGTTAGGCTTTTTTTTTGGCCGATATCCTAGGTGCTTGGTGGGGTGTTGCCTAAGTAAGGTTGCAAGAATCTGCACCTAGACTTAGGCAATACAGAGGTTGTACCCTGGGATTTAGGAAAAAAATTGCCGATCTCAGGGTGCAGAAATTTGCATGTGGACTTGGGAAACAACCCTACTATTATATTCTGCCATGATTTTTGCCGCAATGGATTCGGGGTCCTTGATTTTTTTTTGAGATTTAGAAAAAAAACAATTGCCGATCTTTTGGCTTGGGGGACCCCGTATCCATCGCAACCACAGATCCGTCGCATAACAATATTTTATTTTATATTTTATCGAAGTACCCAACCCCAAAAAACCTATCTGAACTACGATCGAATGGTGATCGCTTGTTCTGACTGGCACTTCCACGAATAGAAGGGTAAATGGATGGAGAGACTAATTATCAATCCCCATCTTGGCATGACTACCGAATGACGGATAAGAATTAATAATATTAAAACATCCAAGGGACACTACCCCAAGACAATCTTTCCTTTGGGATCATTTTTCGCTAGTGTATACCAGGGCCACCTACCTTGAAAGATAAGATAGATAAAGAAATACATAGTGGAAAACATATATCAAACAATCAGAAATAGAGCTACATCACCAAGGACCCTAGAATCAAATTCAAAGACCCCCTATCGGCTGCATATATTAATATATATATATATTATATTATACCGAAATACCCAACCCGCAAAAAACCTATCTGAACTACGATCGAATGGTGATCGTTTGTTCTGACTGGCACTTCCACGAATAGAAGGGTAAATGGATGGAGAAACTAATTATCAATCCCCATCTTGGCATGACTGCCGAATGACGGATAAAAATTAATAATATTGAAACATCCAAGGGACACTACCCCAAGACAATCTTTCCTTTGGGATCATTTTCACTAGTATATACCAAGGCCACCTACCTTGATAGATAAGATAGATAAAGAAATAAATAATAGAAAACATATATCACACAATCAGAAATAGAACTAAATCGCCAAGGACCCTAGAATCAAATTCCAAAGGCCCCCTATCGGCTGCAAAACCTTTACTTATGGTTATTTCTTGTACAAATAAATCAACACCGGTATCTTTTTCATGGTTCAAAGTTATAGCAGGCTATGACTACTCGTCACTTTTCTGTGACTCCGAGTTGAAACGAAGCCAGAAGCGAGATGCCGTCGACCCAAAACGGGTTCCACCGTGGAGAATACCTAGATTCCGAGTGGACACGCTTTTGGGGAAGCTGATGGACATTAGAAATCTCTGCAGCCACGCGGTGGAACTGAGCATGCCCTCAAACTTTTTCCCAAAAAGAAATCTGTTACAGTGGGCAGTCTTTGGCTTCGATGGATTTTCTTTCCACAACCCCCAAGAAACAATCTATCTGGTCAGGCCTGTGCTTGCGTCACTTTCCAGGTCGACATCAAATTGCCTTGAGCAGCGCAGGACAGCCAAAGGATGCGTTTGCCCGCAGCATGTTTGCGCAACAGCTTAGCGAGGTGCTGCAGGTTGTGCCAGTAATGCTGCAGCACCCTGCCAATTCAGCAGTAGAGCCACGGAAGGAGATTCCATGAGCAAACGCTGGCGAGATTAGATGAAAACCTCAAAAGCAATCTGATTCATACAATCGCAATTTCAAGACATTTTTTTTTGGCTTTATCTACCAATCTTTAATGCCAATTTCTATGAGAAAATGCGGTGAGAAACCCATGGCCGCCATGGCCCAGCTGTATCACCCTTTCACCATCCGGCTCGAGAGCCTGGGTTTGCTGATGCCATCTTCGATGCAAAGGTCATGGTCGCAGCCTGTGGTGGTTTCAACACACCTGCTGTGTCTTGTCCAAAAAGAGGTTCCAAGAGCTGGGGGTTAGTCACCTTAAACCATAAATGAATCTAACACTTCGGGGGTTCCAGAAATTCGTTGGCTTTCCGTTCATTGGGCGTTTAATAACCCAATAACCCATTAGACATCGGTGGTGTTAGTGAACGGTTAAACATGGTGCGAGATTACCTCAACGCTTTTTTTTTTTAAACTGCGGTACGCATATTCTAGAGATTCTAGTCTCACCGGCCATTTGATGGTCGAGCTTTGAAGGCGTCTGGTTGACTTCGTTGAGTACCCAAGTCTGGGACTAAACCAACTAAGCCTCATTCGCCTGGTAAATTCCCTCCAGCGGTGACTATCCCAATCCATGTACCCCACAGATAATCACAGCTATCAGGTCACTATACAGTGGCATCGTTGTGCTAAACCCATTTGATTCTTATTGAGATGACGTTGTTTTCGCTTCCGAAACATACAGCACTGGGGCACATGCAGAATGGAAGTCCATTTCACAACATCACCGGTGTCGTTGTTCACGGTTCCTTGTATATTCCCCAGTCAACATCACCTCTTCGAGTATTAATCACACACATCTGCACACCATTTTCGCTGATGCTTCAAACCCCAAGGCTCCCAATTTGTAGCCATGATTCATAGCAGACAATGATTGTCTAAAACCATTCAATTTTGGGGTACTCCATTTGTGGGCGCACTCCTACAGAGAAGGATCCCTGCAACTGCGCTACTATGCAGCACCAGCACATCGAACTTTTGAATCTGTTCAATCAAGTCGTGGACCACCGAGCCATCCGCCAAATTGCCTCAGGCCAACAGAAGCCTTGGAAGAAGGGACTACTTGGATCATCCCACAGATCGGTTCAGTGGTTGACAGCCGCTGGTTAGCAAGTCCTCCAAGTGAGTGATTCCATCCACAAATGAATTATCGAAGGAAGTTTAGAAGTCAAACTTCCGACAATATGGACAGATGAAGAGCAGAGATGGGCAGAGTCAGAGAGTAGAGAAGAGTAGAAGAGAGAAGATCAGAGAAGAGAAAGAGTCAGAAGAAAGAAGATGCAGGTGCGCGAAAAGGTAGGAAAGTCGCGAAACACTGTGTTTTTCCAATGATTTGTGGCTCCGGAGGGTCGAAAAGTAGGCTCGCTAAAGGGGCGGGTGCGGAGCGAGCTGGCCAGATGAGAGATGAAAAATTGCATGCCGTTGTGGCGCAAAGCACATTTCGAAGTCAAAATGTACAAGACACACCATTCTCGGACCACATTTGGAAGTTGAGATGTCGAAAAAGTGCACGCCGTTGTGGCCCGAAGCACATTTTGAAGTCAAAATGTACAAAGCACACCGGCTCCGGACCACTTTTGGAAGTTGCGATGTCGAAAAAGTGCACGCCGTTGTGGCGTGAAGCGCGTTTTGAAGTCAAAATGTACAAAGCACACCGGCTCCGGACCACTTTTGGAAGTTGCGATGTCGAAAAAGTGCACACCGTTGTGGCGCGAAGCACATTTTGAAGTCAACATGTTAAAGCACCACATGTTTGCGCCACTTTTGGACGTTCAGATGTCGTTTCGCGTGGCAGGCGCAAGGGATTGTGCACCTGGTCAAAAGTGAGCAAAACGTGAGGGTTTTGTAGCATTTCCAAAAACAATGGCAGGCGGGGCATTTGAAGAGGATCTGCAAAGATGCATTTTCCGTGGCAAGCGCAGTACAAGAGACATGTTCATCAGAGATGTTAGGAGGTCCGGGCGCTGATTTCTTGAGAGGGGTTAGATTTTGGAGCCTGAGATCTTCAGTTTTGGGAAGATGATTTTGCGTGACAGGCGCAGCACTTCGTATGACCTGGCCGCACTTTTTCGTGGCAGGCGCAGTACTTTAGACAGGTGGAGTGGAAAAATCGCGAAACGCATTGGTACGAGGCTGCAGCGCTGCAGTCAACTTTCAATTTTTGAAGGAAGTCTCGCAGAATTGCTTTGTTTTTCATGTTTTCAAGTTCAAAAATTGAAGAAGTCTCCCAGAATTGCTTCGTTTTGGATGTTGTCAAGTTCAAAAATTAAGAAGTCTCGCAGAATTGCTTCGTTTTTGATGTTGTCAACATTGAAAAATGTGGAAGTCTCGGAGAATTGCTGCGTTTTTGATGTTGTCAACTTTGAAAAATGAAGAATCTCGCAGAATAGCTTGGTTTCAAGCTTGCAAATAGACAGGTAGATAGATAGGCAGACAGACAGACAGACAGAGAGGCAGAGAGATAGATAGATAGATAGATAGATTAGATTAGATTAGATGAGATTAGATAGGTGGATAGATAGATAGATAGATGGATAGATAGATAGATAGATAGATAGATCGGCAGGTAGGTAGGTAGATCATCAGAGAAAGAGAGAGAAAGAGAGGAGACCTCAACCACCTTTCGGTCCATCAGTGGATTCGCTCTGCCATCCGTGATTCACAACAACCTCTCCTATAGGTTTCCTATTTTTGAAACTTCCGCCACCGCCTTGTGCGGTACTACTGGTCACGAAAGAATATAAATGAATGTGGGATCCACCACACTAGTCATCAACAATTACCAACCACTAGGGACGAAACTTGAAGTCACCAAGAAGGAGTTATACCCAATGATATCTAAATCACAACCTGAAGATGGTTGATTAGTGTGGATCCCTCACTGGTATAAGTGGGATCCCGCGGTCGCCAAGTGGGAACTCAAAAAAGGTTGAAGAGCAAAGCATCCAAATAGATTCTGTGTCCGGAAAAAAAAAGCTTCGGTGGTATCCCCAACAGCCGCAACGTTGTATTTTCACAAAAGCCAAGCGCTGGAAACACGTCAGCTGAGTTTCCGTCAATTAAATGGCCGCAAACCCTGTTGAACCTGACCTGGCTCTGCACCAAAGCCTCGCACACCTTCTCCGGAACCTTGTTGAACCTGACTCTGCACCAAAGCCTCCCGGAACCTTCTCCGGAACTTCTATGGAACCGTTTTGAACCTAACCTGGCTCTGCACCAAAGCCTCGATCCCAGACCTTCTCTGGAACCTTCTCCGGAACCCTGCTGAACCTGACCTAACTCTGCACCAAAGCCTCCCAGACCTTCTCCGGAACCCTGTTGAATTTGACCTGGCTCTGCACCGAAGCCTCTACGACCTTCTCCGGAACCTTCTCCGGAACCCTGTGGAACCTGAATTGGCTTTGCACCAAGGCTTCCTGGACCCTTTCCGGAACCTTCTCCGGAATCTGTTGAACCTGACCTGGCTCTGCACCGAAGCCTCCCAGACCTTCTCCGGAACCTTCTCCGGAACCCTGTTGAACGTGACCTGGCTCTGCACAAGCCTGCCAGACCTTCTCCGGAACCTTCGGAACCTTCTCCGGAACCCTGTTGAACCTGGCGCCTGCACCAGTGCACACTGGAGCTTTTCTGTGCTGAAGACGCCATTAGCTTACGCTGTTGGGGAAAAATGGTGCTGTCCTAAGGAGGATCATGATATGGAAACATGAACCCCTACAACGAACACAACCTTCCAAACGGGTGCCCAAACCAGACCATACTAACAAAATCCATTATCACACCTGTCAAAATTGGTTCCTTTGCCTTCCTTTTGGAAAATGATTCACAAATCCTACACATGTAAAGACATGAAAATAATTTCACTAATCAAAAGTAAATAAACAAATAAACAAACTAGACGACGGTTGGCCCGAGAGCGAAAAAGACGTTTTTCAAGCAGCCCTGAGTATGGTAGTCGTAAAAAATTGTCGGTGAATGGTTGGTGAATTTTAAATGAGCTATGGAGGGATAAGTTGTGAAAAGCAAGATTGATTTAGAAGAGGATACATGTGACAAACCATGCATATGCACTGTGCTGCTTGGTAAAGGGCATCATATGACACGTGTCTTGCAACCACAGAGAGACATAGATAGAGAGAAAGGGAGAGAGGGAGGGAGAGAGGGAGGGAGAGAGAGAGAGAGAGAGAGAGAGAAGGAGAAGGAGAAGGAGAAGGAGAAGGAGAAGGAGAAGGAGAAGGAGAAGGAGAAGGAGAAGGAGGAGGAGGAGAGGGAGAAGGAGAGGGAGAAGGAGAAGGAGAAGGAGAAGGAGAAGGAGAAGGAGGAGAAGGAGAAGGAGAAGGAGAAGGAGAAGGAGAAGGAGAAGGAGAGAGAGAGAGAGAGGGAGAAATAAAGGGAGATAGAAAGAAAAGATGAAAAATATAATGTGAGCAACAAAAGTGCACAGGAGGCTCGGTACCATCATGTGTTATCTCATTTTTTTATGGCCGGCACATACCCAACGAGCGCATTAGCCCATCACCTCTTGTCATATTCTGATGATAGCCCGAGCTATCGCCAGAACGACGTTGGCCTCAAGTTATGCGTATCTGTGTCCCCCACCACCGGCCAACGCCGGGCCAGCCGCGTTGGAGCAAGCTGTTTGGTAAGGACAAGCAGAAAGAGACAGCATGAAAAAGGCAACGCGAGAACATGCCGATGGCAAGTAACTGATGTATATGGCACATTCTTCCCAATGAAACTTACTTGTGCAGACGCCATCAAGTCGAAACAAACTCATGTTGCGAATGACGTTGTAAAGTGAGCTGATGATGTGAATGACACAAATTTCCACAAATCGATCCTTGCAGTCAAATGTCACCTCAACAGGAAACAGATATCAACTTTCAATGCAGCCGTTCCAAGTCACAAAACACAATCTGCAAAGAATGAATGCAAGACCATATCCGCAGAAGAAAGATGTCGACAGTATTGCTTTAAATGCATCTCTGCATCCACTTGAGGCTCCCACCAAAAGATCGGCAACAAAAACCAGTTGAATGACTTTTGCAATGATAATGCGGTTGCAAAAGCTTCTGTGTGTAAAAGCTTCTGTGTGTAAAAGCGTCTGTGTGTAAAAGTCTCTGTGTGTAAAAGCTCATGTGTGTAGCAGCTTCTGTGCAAAAGCGTCTGTGTGTAAAAGATTCTGTGTGTGAAAAGCAATACGAAGGATACGATGCAAACTAATGTCTTGTACTTGTAATATATTGTCTAGATACTACTCTTCTCGTCTGCCAATAATACATCTTTAATATATTGTCTTGTACTATAGTGTCTCAATACTAACAACAGAAGACCCTGCTCCTCTACGCTCTCGGGCCCTACAGAACATGGAACAATCACAAAACACAATCTCCAAAGAATGAACGCAAGACCATATCCACAGAAGAAAGATGTTGACAATATTGTTTTGAATGCATCTCTGCACCCACTCCAAAATCGCAATTTTACCTCAGTTTTTGACGTCCAAGGTCCATTTCGCGCGACTGACACCTCAAAATCGCAATTTTACCTCAGTTTTTGACGTCCAACGTCCATTTCGTGCGAAAGGGTTGCGGCGGACTAACTAAAACCGCAATTTTACCTCAGTTTTTGACGTTCAACGTCCGTTGCGTGCGAAAGGGTTGCGGCGGACCAACTAAAATCGCAATTTTACCTCAGTTTTTGACGTCCAACGTCCATTTCGTGCGAAAAGTTTGCGGCGGGCCAACCAAAATCGCAATTTTACCTCAGTTTTTGACGTTCAACGTCCATTTCGTGCGAAAGGGTTGTGGCGGACACCTCAAAATCGCAATTTTACATAGGTTTTGGAGGTCCGATGTGCACGAAATGCTGCGCCTGTCACGTTTCGTGGCGCTCCGGCGGCACCGCCCCCGCCTTAAGAGAGAGATAGAAAGAAGAGAAGGAGGAGAGAGAGATCTGCAGATGTGAAGGTGCGAGGAAGTAGATCTGCAGATGTGAAGGTGTGAAGATGTAGATCAGCAGATGTGAGGGTGTGAAGATGTAGATCTGCAGATGTTACAACGGCTGCTTTTTTACGAAGAACCCTTCGCAGGTGCTCTCGGGAAAAAACGTGTAAATTTATATAGACACCATCCATTTGTTTCATCATTTCCTCCTCATTATACATTTAAATATTTGTGCATACCTCTGCCACCGCTTTCAGCCCCAGCGACCCAAGCCGCGACATTTGGGTTTCCGCAGATGCTGCAACGGCATCGCCACCGCTCCTCGGCCGCCGAGCCTCACCACGCTGCTTGTTTCGGCCGCCTCGGCCTCGCCGAAAGTGTCACAAAACTTGCTGCTCCAAAGGCCGACCTTGGGACGATGGGGATAGCCGTAATTTCCATAAATCCCTTGTGAAATATGACCAATCCTCATGGATCCTCTATAAATCCCCAAAAACCATGATAAATCCTCAGTAAAATTGGCATTTCAATTGAAAAATCGTCAACGTAAACAATGATAAAGATGTAGAATAATGAAAATCATTCGACGTCTGATACCTATGGCAAGTAAATAAATAAATAAATGAATAAATAAATGAATATATACATATATATATATATATACAGAATCTGTAGAGATTGTAGCCAATGGGGCGGGATATCCATGGAGATAAGGCTGATATATGTATATGATAAAATATTTATATGAAACTTGTAACTTGATTGATGGTCAGAAAGATATGTCAATATAAAATTAGAATATGATAAAGATATATACGCTGGCGCGCTTAGCCAGGACGAGGCCCAACCGGGTGTAGAGGGGACATGCCAAACCCGACAAATTTTAGCGTAAGCCCAGCGCTAGTCGAAACGTCGAGCATTGACTCGCTTCTTGACCGCCACATGCATTCTACTTCTCAACTTGTAGATATGTATGTGATGTGTATGTATCATGTAGAGAGAGATGCATAATAGTGGCATGTACTTTATCAAGCAATGAAAACGGGAATGTTAACCAACATTAGCCAAAAAAATCATAAAACATCTACTTGGTTGATGGATTAATTCCACAATGCAAATGGTATGAGTCTTCCCCCCCAAAAAAAGGAATGCGGTATACGGTATACCCATACGCGAAATCCACTGGATAATCCATGTCCACATTAGCTTGCCATTTCGGGACGTTCCTTATTTTTGGAAACATTTACGCACAATGTGCGCACACATACATATCAGCAATGGGGGTATATGGAAATGTGATTAGCCCAACAAAAATGGAGGTGACACCCATCAATGCTTGATCGCTTGGCGGCTTTAATCCTCAAGAATATTTGCCAATTTTTGCTGAGAAAAATGTTGCTTGAAGCTGGAAAACAGTCATGGCTTTGGAGCAAAGGTAAGGGAAAATTGCAGGAATCCCCTGAAGTCAAAATCAACGACTTCGTGTGCAGGAAGTGAACCGGACTGACCAACACCCAAGAGTCGTAAAAACATCTAAATTTGGGTGGAAAACATGGGGAAAACACCTGGTTTCCAGATGTTTCCAGTAGAAACAAACCAGTCCGTAAATCCTTCCTGTTCAACTCAAATCCCTTGCTCTGAGAAGTCGACCACTCGCTTCTTCTGAGAGCTGTAGCTTTCACTGTAGCTGCAGACATCGCTCTTGTTCCAGGGATTCTTGAAAGGTTTCACCTGTCGAGTTTGTTCAACACTGTCAGCAACTTGTAGAGGGCCAAAAAAGATGAATCATGGTCCAATCACGATACAATTGGAATCAAGAGTCTGACCCTCTCATGCAATGGAACCTCCCCTGTCTACCAACTTTCTACATGGCATGAAAAGTGAGGGATCTGCGCCTCGCTCCACATGCCCAAGGCTTCCTGCAAGAGTCCCTGAGTAGTGGAATCTCCGAGCAACAGCACTGTCGCCCTCGGCTTTCCCATCTTTCCCAAGCAATTCCTGAGTGTGTCACTGCTGAGAGCTGAACACTTGGAACACTGAGAGTCGGAAGAAAAAAGCATCAGTTGAGTCTGATACAATCATCCCAGCTCCCAGTGGCAACCGTTGGTTACTAACATTGGTTGTCCAACAACGACCGGAATATTGATGGGGTAGTATTTTAACCATGCAATAACCATGCATGGTACAAAAATAGGACCTGAGTAATTAGAAATGCAAACGCCAATTCCAAGGGTACCCTTGGATCAAATGGCCAGTAGTCCTCTTAATCACCCAAACAAAACGCGGCTTGACAAGTATCTGTATCTCCTGTGCATCTCGCATGGAATAATAGCAATCGCTTTCCAGGTACAAGTGATGAAACGCTGCGTCTGGAGAGAGAAGCTGAAACGCCCCACAGCCTTTCTTTCCAACACCTGGTCCACAGCCATTCAACAACAGGATGATCTGGGGAAAGGCGCTTCACCATGCTTTCAATCGTGGCAAATCCAAGTACCTGGCTAAAATACGGTTTGCTGGCTACTTAATAAATGATATGCCCGTTTATGGGAAAGGGTTGAAGTATTATACTAATTTCCCCTGCTATCCACTGGCAACGGGGAATTCTCCTCCAATGTCAACCCCACATCAATATGCCTTTTGATAGTCATTCATAGGTCACCTTTGTCGCTGTTCACCATGCCCCACCTGAGCAAGCTACGCCGACATGTTGCTCCATTTCCAGCCAGAAGCCACCCTCACGTTTGGAAGCTGTGGAGGACTGATGACAACTTGGCAGTTGCGACAAGGCGGATTTCCACAGGGTCAGGTTGCCCCCGGGCCACTGCCAATGCACATCCGAAGTGGGCACCGCAGTTGTTGCCTTCAGATGTACGTAAATGGCTCGCAAATCCGCGCTTGAAGCTTGTAGATCGAAGGGATCCAAAACATTTTGTCTGCCGAACACATCCGCAACTGGCCAAGCAGCAGTTTTTCCAGCCAACTTTCGGTAGGCAGAACGATTCAGGGCTTGGTGCAAGTAGATGCTCAGCTTGTAAGTGCCAGTGGGCAGCATCGTATCTTCGGGCAGAAGTAACGCATAGGAACCGTTTCCAAAATCATGCACCGAAGGCTGCATGAGAGCTTTGGGTGCTTGCTGCCCATCCAAATATGCCAAGAAAACGTCGCCTCCAGTCGTTTGACACCGATCTTCTCCACAACAACTTCGCAACATTCCAAACTGAAGCCACCCAGCTTTCACTTCGCTGGGTCTCATCCCAACTTCAACAAACTTGCTGACATTGGCACTGGACAATTCGTTGGGATGACAAGTGTTCTCAGCAACTTTCTCCGAGATCCAGTGATTTTCCATAGGCAGTTCTGACTTCGGTAAGGGGAGAACAGCACGGCTTTCAGGCGAAGTTTTCGATTGCAGCGTCCTTTTCAGGAGCCACTCCCACCCGGTACAGGAGTTGGTGCTGTGGTGTGTGATGGAATTGGTACCACTTGTACGCAAGAAGCAAAATGAGATCAGATTTGGCGTAACATATCTCAGTTAAATCATGAACAGTGGATTCTGATAGAAACATGTTATGGCAACTGCAACGACACGGCGGTGGTTGTTGACGACAAACCTCTGGAAAAAACTGTGATCATCGCAAGCTCCGTGCCAAGCAGCAGGACAGGGCTGGTGGAACTTGGAGGACTGCAGATTTGGTTGAAGATCACTTGCACCAAGACTCTGGAGAGATAGCCAGCACCACCTGAGCATCAAGACACTGGCAAACTGTTGCAGGATATACATATGTATATACACATACATAACAAAACAAAACATTACATGTCACTACATTACATTACATTACATTACATTGCATTGCATTGCATTGCATTGCATTGCATTACGTTACATACATTACATACATACATTACATATATACCTAGCTACCTACCGACCGACCGACCGACAGACCGACCGACCTACCTACCTATATACATCTATACATCCGTACATGTATATTACATATATGTATGTACTGATGTTTGAATTTTGGAAAGGTGTTGCTGGAATACATCGATGAAAGGTTCGGAACATCATAGCCACATTAGAGATGCACTCCCAAGATGGGTTTCCAAAAGTTGAACCATCAAGAAATATCACGACTACGGCTCAACATACTTCACCCATTTATTTAGAGCCCCTTGCTGAAATGGGCATGGGGATCTATTTTCCTTCTGAAACTGACCAGAAGTTGGGTCAATTTTTCAGGGATCCTTCCACGCCTTGAAGAGCTAAACGATACGGCAGCTGATCAAATCGTCCTCGGAGTGCTTCGAGTTCATTGGGATTTCCTCTTGGGCAGCCTCGATGGTCGATGGCCATTTTGAGGGAGGGATCATGGGAATGGTCTTTTAAGGCAACATTTGATAAGGTTTGGTTTGCTGATGTTTGTTTCTTCATCATTTTAACGGTGCTGGTGTATCATCATGGATTTCTGTGCATGGTTGCCAGAGGGTATCAGTTTGGGGTGTCGCCCACGTACTTTTTGCTGGGAACAAGGACTGCTTCCAGTATTTGATCAGGATGCTTCCATCAAAGTTCCGAAGGGGCGAGAGATTTGGGTTCAGACATGTGCCATCACTTCACTTTCAGGCATCCCACCCTCATCCGTACTGTGTGTCAATCGGTCGTAGCCTGTTTGAATTCCAACCAGAAGTAGCACCGCCCCTATAATGTGGGTGAAGCAATAATAAACCACCAATTTCAAAATGGTTTATACCACCTATAAAAATGGTGATTTGGGGGATGATCCACTCACCAAGCCGCAATGTGAATGGGTATGCACATCACCTGCCAGCCCACGGTGATCAAACCAGCGTTCACGCAGCAGCGCTGCAGAGTACAAGGAGAAGCCATCGATGAATTCCCAACCGTTCCTTGGACGTCGACGTCGCTTGATTATCGTGAAGCTTCTTTGCCCTAAGACTCCCTAGGATATGTTTTGGGTCAAAATGGCGAAGAATATGCTCCAAATTTGCTGAAGTTAATTAGCTTATACATGTAATTACTAGTAATTACTTATGTGCATGTGTATATATATAATATATATATATATTTATATATATATTTATATATGTAAAATTATATCAGTCTAATCCTTAAAAGAGACAAAAAGACCACTAATGTGTAGTTGCATTGGCATCCCATCTTTGTCCTTGCGAACACTGGGCGCTCCCAGAAAATAGATCCACTGATAGTATGCGGTAAAAGACTGGATAAACCATCCTTCAGGACAAGAAATTGATGGTTGTACAGACCATCCCGACTTGGAGGTTTCTGGCATTGGATTTACCTTCGATTTGATGTCCATACAGGGTGGTGCCCCATAGTTAGTTAAGTTGGCGTATAAGTCCAATAACTATGGTTTATAGATGATATATTGAACTAGTTAATGGATTGTAATCCATTTATAACTGGGGGAGGGCACATGCTCTTGGCACTGATCAGCCAAGTTTCGCCTTGCACATCTCGAAGGCGATCCGATCCATCCGCCATTTGAAGACCTGGTGGATGGTTGCTTCGCCCCTAACCGGTCCAGTGATCGCAAAATATAATGCAGAACAAACATGATAAACCAGCCGAAATCTTATGGATGTGTCTGAAAACGGGGGTACCCAAAATGGACGGTTTAATTTATAAGTAGGGAAAATCCTATTGAAATGGATGATTTAGGGGTACCCCCATTTAAGGTAACCTCCTAACCTGCCCCCGAGCCTGCGTCAGGGTAAACATCCAGGTGGAGTTCAAGCCGCTCTGCGCAGGACAGGAGAGCCAAATGATCCGCTTCTCCGGCGCGTACTTCCGAAGGATCTTGGACAAGCGGCGCAAATTCTGGCGGTACTGCTCCAATAGCCTCCACGCTGGAGAATTCCATAAAGTTCCAGTTTTGGAGGGTTTATCCCAGCCATTTCTGGTGTGTTTGGAAGGTTTATACCACTAACATGAGGACTTCAAGAGAGGTGATGTTGAAGTGTTGTGCCGCTTGCTTGTACTGGCAGCTGCCTGGAAATTGACCATCTCTACATAGATCTGTTTTCTTTCCGCAGTTACTATGACCTTTGTTGGAGAGGCCACCCACTCCTCGAGCACCAAAAATAAAGATCTTTATAATGCGGGTAAAACAATGCCATAAACCATCCCCCAAATCACTGTTTTTAAAGGTGGTATATAAAAACCATTCCCAGATGGGTGGTTTATGGCATTGTTTTACCTACATTAGATCGTTAATTTCCCACAGAAACGGAAGCGTCTTGCAGCCTGGGCTTTGCGTAGTTGTAATTGCAGAGGTCGTGCGAACCTGCAGCTTTTCAACATGTGAGCAGCACCTGGATCCTATGTGGATCTGTCAATGGGGTATACCCCCTAGTTATGTTCCATCTAAAACGGAAATTATGAGAACGCATTAGATTATGGGGCACCCTATTGTCAGACAAACCCCTGACAAACCCATGCAAGCACCGTCGCCAATGCCCGAAATTTAACAGATTTTACCATTTGGGGGCTAGTCAAACCTACAAATATATATATATATATAAATATATATATATATATAAATAAATATATATATAGTAGTATTTCACCATTTGGGTGAATGTTAAGGAACCATGCCCAAAAACTCAGGGGGCCATTGCGTTTACCACTGGTGAACATTTGTGCACGAAGCCAACAGCCTACATCCCTGCCAGCAACAGGAATGCAGCACCAAAATGTCGTAGGGTTGGAGGAGCTTTGCAAAGCGCGATGAAATAGTGCTATCGGCCAAGTTCGCCAGACCTGACACCCAATGGTGGACAGGGTCCGCCAAACTTGGAGGATGAATGGGGATACACGCTGAGGATAGAATGTAACATGTATATAACTGTGTATACATGTATGTATATAAATGACTTTGTCTGAAGAATATAGGTGCCTGATTCCATCCACTGGTGAATCACATTTATGCTAGTTGTTCTGCGTTATTTTGGGATCAATCCACCATTTCCAAAGGATCCACAAGTGGCTGGTGAATTTTAGCAGCAAGGCCTGAAAGCAGCCAAAAAAGATCGTTCCACCTGGACTTTGATCCTCTGTTCATGAAACCTACCCTCTGGTAAACTAACATAACTATTGAAAATCAGCACTTTTAATGGGTAAATCAACTATTTCCATGGCCATTTTCAACAGTTATGTTAGTTTACCAGAGGGTAGAATAAATCCACAGAACTCTAATATCCAGTCGATCAAATTGAATACCCCCAACAATTCATCCAAACATTCCAAACGGAATTGCCTGAGTGCTGACTGCGTAGACTGACCCATCTGCGACATCTGCGACACTGTAATGCTGTTGGCCAATCCCCTCCCAAAAGCATGGGGCAATTTTGCCACTTTGCGGTTGAGCCATGTCAGATAGGGAGCATCATCCTAGATACACGGGAATTGGTAGGGAAAAAACAACCAAATTATCATAGGTTAATCTCACATTTTCTTGGTTGGTGAATTTCTAAACCCAAGAACTTGTCGGTTGTCTATCTATCTGTCTATCTAATCTAATTTAATCTGATCTAATCCTATCTATCTATCTATCTATCTCTCTATCTATCTATCTATCTATCTCTCTCTCTATCTATCTATCTATCTCTCTCTCTCTATCTATCTATCTATCTTTCTTTCTATCTATTTCCTGAAAAAAATCACTGCAAAACCCGTACCTTGACACTGAGGTGTTCGAAAAAGTTGTGCGGGTGAGGACACGGCCGCGCGACCATCCAGAACCACATCGTTCAGGAGAGTCTCTCCTGGAGAAAGGGGCTGTGAAGGTGATATAATCCCACATGGTCCTGCCAGGAATGGTTCAATGATCAATGTATAGATAGTATGTGTATGTCTGTTTTAATCTAATTATATTCATATATTCTGTATAGATAGAGAGATTCTATCAATTGCCCAAAATATTCCGTGAATATGTAAAAAAAGAAATTTGGTCTACTCACACAATCACGCTCCGTGCGTTCGGAGCTCTTCGATTCTAACCCTTCAAGACCTTTAAGCACTGTTGCATTCCAAGTAATACCATCCCCCTGACAATCGCCCCGTATGGGTGCCTAAAATGAGCCTTGAATACTAAAGCAAATGTTTCTAGGGGTTGTTTGTCTGGGAAAGCTACTGCTGATGCTTCAAACTTCTAGCCTTTGCATGGTCATCCCACTACATCTGATGCTCACTGCATAGTTGGTGAGAACATGAAATCCCTCTTCAAAAAATTGATATCCTTGTCCTCAATGGCAAGCTTTGATCTGAAACCAGATTTGCTATGGGCAGTACAAAACTCCTGAGATGCCATAGGTACATTTAACTCCCACGTCTCCTTTGCCTACTTTGACAATACGAGGCGCTGCTTGGCTTCTGGCCCCAAATTTCCATCAACTAGATCAAGATACCAAAAAATGCCAATAAATTCCACAGCAATGGTCAAAGAAGGTTTCAATTGGGCAAAGATTATCATATTTGGCTTTGAGATTAGGAAAAAAACATTCAGTCATCTCAGTAGGATATATTACATTCTCGATCTTTTTCGGGTGGTGCTAAACATAAAGGAATACATGTTGAGACCAACAGAATGTTCCCGCCTCGATGGCTACAGACTTGGCTGCTCCAGAGCGAAATCTTCTTGCGCTTGCGCGGCACCCAGGTGGGTTTGAAGCTGCAACCTTCGCCTCGTTGCCATGGCTCCAATGAGCAGTGGCTGCTAAAACCCGATTTATGTCATGCCACTTAAGGATGGTTGGTGAAGAGGGGGATTCAAATGCTTGGAAGTTCTGTTCCAGTTCCAGTTGAAGATGGATATGTAGCTGTAGTTATAGGCGTTTTATCCTGAATTATGATAATTTATGGGGGTTCAAAACCATGATGATACCCGCAACTGCACTGCCAAGTAGTGGATGATGATAATTCCCCATAGATTGGGTATCATATAACCCCCTGAATTATCAGCCAACAAGGGCTTTGAACATGCTCAAATGGCTTTGTCCAATAAATAGAGGAACTTCACCAATCTATGAGGAGTGACCAGTGACCAGAAATGAACAGTCACCTTTTTTGGAGTCATCTTTGATGGGGAAATCGAGAATGAGGGTTACCCTGGGATTTGCGGGAATTGTCGATAGTTGCTTTTGTTGTTGAAAAGATATTTACACACACAGACACAATCTCCCAGTTTTCCTTTCCTTTTGTTGGTGCCAAATCATGTTACATCCCTGTTGGTTGTTTGTTAAACCAAGTTTCTTGCTGGTTTTTCACACCATGTATTGCTGGGTTCAACCTCAATTTTTGGTGATAAAAACCCCTACAGTAATCGGTCCCTTTGTGGCAAAAATTGAGTGGCTCTTGTTGAGGCCGTTGATGTAGGGCTTCACTTCACTCCACATGGTCAGCGCTTCCTGCAACAGTCCGTGGGTGGTGGAATCTCCCAGCAGCAGGACCTTCGTGTCATCGCCCAGGCACTTCCTGGGGGTGCCCTGTGACACCCGGCGATGAGGACTTTGGTGTAAAAATTGGAGAAAAGACGGGGAAAAATATGACATTCCCATGTTCATCTAGATGTTTGGGAAGTGATCTACCCCAGGTATTGGTTTCTAGTGGCACCATTTGCAAAGTCGACCAACGGGCCCAGACGTTTGGGCAAAGCTTCTGAATGTTGCGATCGTCTCGTAGGATGTAGTAGCAGTCTCGCTCCATGTAGATATGATGAAAAACTCTATCAGGCGACAACAGACTGAACGCTCCACAGCCCTGCTGGCCAACACCTGGCACTTGGATATGATCCCGGGCATCTGTCCAACATGGACGTGAAAAAAAGCCACAGCATGGCAAGCTCCATATATGACTGGGGTATAACATGGGTATAATATGGTTATATGATCATTATGTCTTACCCACTTACGATCCTTGGGATGCACCCCCAAGGTTCTTTACCATGAAAAACATGTCCAACCCCTGAGGTGCACCTTCACACGGTACATGTTTCCCGAGACGTAACCAGAAGCCCCCCACGCGGCGCGATGCGGCAGATTGAGGACGACAAACGCGCAGCTGTGACAGGGCGGATTTCCAGGCCTCCAGGTGTCCCCCCGGCCACTGCCAGTGCACATCCCAAGTTGGCACAGAGGTTGTGGCCTTCAAATGCACATAAACAGCACGTAAATCTCCAGATTCATTGGAGCTTGATTCGTGGACATCGAAGGAATCCAAGATGTCTTGCCCAGCAAAAATATCGGCAACCGGCCAAGCAGTTTTTCCAGCCAAACTTCGGTAGGCAGAACGATTCAAGGCTTGGTGCAAGTAGATACTCAGCTTGTAAGTGCCAGTGGGCAGCATCGTATCTTTGGGCAGAAGTAACGCATAGGAACCGTTTCCAAAATCATGCACCGAAGGCTGCATGAGAGCTTTGGGTGCTTGCTGCCCATCCAAATATGCCAAGAAAACGTCGCCTCCAGTCGTTTGACACCGATCTTCTCCACAACAACTTCGCAACATTCCAAACTGAAGCCACCCAGCTTTCACTTCGCTGGGTCTCATCCCAACTTCAACAAATTTGCTGACATTGGCACTGGAGATTTGCTTCAAATCGCAGCCCTCCGTGTCAGAATTTTGTGCCTCACCCACAGGCAGCGTGGAGCCACCATCCGTCGTCAACCTCGGCTCTGTTGTGGTGGCCCAATGTCCCTCTGTCAGCGGTTTCCTGCGGCGGAGACAGGGGCAGCAAGAAAAATGCCACACATTTTCAGTGCTGAAAACTGTAACCTTGATGAGATTCTACCACGAGTAACCGGGCCTGACAAGACCCAAGGGGATAACCTGTCACCATGCTTCAACCGCTTGCAAATAAAATATGCTTTCTGCAGCCGCGACGACCTTGTATCGAGGATTGACATTGTTGCCTTCACCGGAGGATGACAGATTTGATTGAACACCAGCTGCACCAACATCCTGGAAAGATATCCAGCACCACCTGAGCATAGTGTCTGAAAATGGGCACCCCAAATTCTTATATATCTGAGCATAATTTCTAACATCTCGAATCCGCGTCAAAATTCACGAAAACATCATTCATGCGGCCGCTCTGTGGCGGCGACCTTGAAATGCTAGACGGTATGGAAGTGGATCCGATGATTTCCGCAGCTCCTCAATTTCTGCCAGACTTCCCTTGGGACAACCTCAGTGAAAGGGGGACAAAATCTTTCAAAGATTCTAGCTATGGCACCTCATGTGTTCTTTGTGTCATGGCTGTAGGAACCCTGAGCTCAAGATTCAATGCATTTTGCCAGTGGTCCTTTCTGTCCCAACACGTGTGTGTTATCTTTGCCTGAACTTTGCGGGTTTGTCATGGAAAAACCGTATTTCCCCAAGTTGAATCCATTTAATTCACATGGCCTTTTTTTTCAAACCCCGGATCACCTCATGACCGGAAGAGCCAAGAACAAAGACGACCTCAGGATGTTTCTATCCCGCCACTTTTTTGATGGGTTTGACCACTTGTCACATCCCAAAGGCTTCCTGGGACAGTGTGGAACCCACATGGCCTGACTATGTCCCGAGGCAGCCAGCGTACAGAACGAGTGCGTGTGAAGGTCACCCACTTTCCCCAGATGATCGAACCAGCGCGGACGCAGCATGGCCGCTGAGTACAAGGAAAAGCCATCGATGAATTCCCATTGGTTCCTGAGGTGGGCATCAAAGCTGCCCATACATGCTACATCGCGTTCTCCTTTTTGGGGTTTGTCCAAAATGGTGTACCAAAAAAAAAAAGTAACAACTTTTGGCGAAACACTTTGAAAACAATCCATTGGCATTGGGGGTGCCCTAAGACGTACTCATGACATAATTCGCCCTGTGCCGCGCACTTTCCACTCAACAACCAAGGTCCAAGGTTCCGTTGGCACATCTCAAAAGCCAGGCGGTCCATGCGCCACTTGACAACCTTCATCAACTCTTCGGGGGTGCGGGGGATGGAGGGACGCCAACAGACCCAACTGTAAACCCACCTGTTTCTACCTGTCTAATAAGAAGCACAAAGATTTCTTGATAATTCATGACAACAGGTTCTGCAAGGAATAGGCAGAAAGAAGCATAACAAATGAGTGATATTTAGAATGATTTCTATACCCGATTTTGCATGGTACAACGAAAATTGATGCGACCCCCCTGGCTGAAAACAACAAAATTGGTACGACTCAATGCCCTGACTCCCTTCCCCCTAATATGAAATCCCGAAGCCGAAACTATCGTTTGGTACAATATTGGATCTATTCATTTGAGGCCGGTGATATTCGGGTTCAATAATTCAATATTAGGGCGAAGGGGTTAGTTTGTTTAAGCGGTACTAATCATGACGCGAAATACTGTTGAGAAACCATCACAGGTTGGTCATCTGCACATAGTCCTTGGTTTTTGGACCCCGAACCCATACCGGAAGTCCCACCTGCATGTGGCTGAAATGTGCAAAAGGAGAGGTCAAACCACTCTGTGCCGCACAGGACAACCAAATGATTCGCTTGCCACTGGCATGCTTTCGCATGACATTGGCGAACTTCCTGAGATTCCTTTGGTACTCTTCCAAGAGCCTCGCGGCGTGTCAGGCTGTACTGTACTCGCTCTCTCAATGACTGACCATATCTGACCTACTCTTACCCTTCCCCACCTAGGCTTGGCGAAGTCCAGGTTGCACATGTCATGGTCACAGGAATGCATCACCAGCACATCAAACTCCTGAATCATCTTGATGAAGCGTGGGAAGACATCCTTCAGGGGTGTCCAAATGTGCATCCCAGTTGATAATGTCTGAATGCCACCGTTAAAACACACCAGTTAGCCGCCTTAACTGAAAAAATGCTCAAACCTTGAAGATCTCCACCATCACTCTCTGCTATGATAATGTGCTTTTCATGTTTGGTCCTATTTCACCACAGCATACAACGGCTATTATATTTGTTTACTTATTTCTTCAGCAGAGCATTCGGCAGGACTTGATGGCCTCATCCTGCAGATTCTTCAAGCCGTGACAGCGGGGTTTGCGGAAGTACTGTTTGGGTGAAGACACCACGACGCGACCATCCAGGACCACGTCATGCAGCAGGGATTCTCCTCGCGGAAATCTCACCATGTGATGATCAGCCCAAATCCATCCAAATCCATCCAAATCCCAGATACAGTATCTTTACAGGCCTATTCACTACCCATGTCCTGGCCTAGTCAAGCAGATTTGAGGGATGATGTTTCCCCCCACTCATCGTCTGGGCCACGCCACAACACGGCCGCGCCAAACCCCCATCAATTTGGGGGAGGTGTTCCCTTAAATCACCACCACTTCAGAAAAAGTCGCTCCTCGAAAGTTGCAAAATTTACTGGTCCATCTGTCATGTGGGGCGCCTTCACCTAGGCCACTGGCATTGTAGCGGCAGGACTCGCTCTTGTTCAAGGCATCTTTGAAAGGCTTCACCTCACCCAGGGCAGTGGCATGGCCACCCCTGTGGCTTTCAAAATGGGTTGCATTACTGATGGAATCACAAAAATTCTCAGTTTTGGTGCCCAAAATTCAAACGGATTAATTAGCTCATATTTCTGATGTTTGATGTCAATTTTGGGATGTGCAGTGTTTGTTGCCGATACCCGAAAAAAACAATCCAGCGACATCCCATTCATGGTAGTGACGCCATCATTTCGCAAGATGTATCCCATGGTTGTTCAGTTATTCAATTTTGATCCATTTTTTTTGTCAAATCTCCAATTTTTCCAGTAAAATCCCATGAAATAGGTAAGCCTTCCACGCCTCGCTCCACATGCCTTGAGCTTCTTGTAAGAGTCCATGGGTGGTGGAATCACCGTGCAGCAGCACTTTCAAGTCGTCCCTAAAAAGACACTTCCTCATGGCACCCAAAACTCGAAAATCCAGAGGTGTCTCGATCAGAAGAAATTTTGATAGCATTGATAGTCTTGATAGTACTGATAGTTTCGGATCTACTCATTTTGGGGGGCCGCCTTTGGATGGAAAGTCTTTCGGGGGAGTACCATTCATGAGGATCCAGATGGACCTTAAATGACCTTAATGGGTATGGGTATGGCTCTGCAAGCACTGATAATGGCAATTTCAGATATTTCAGCTTTCCCTTATTGGGAAACCCCAAAAGATAGAAAAGTAACGTATCACCAATTTTAGGCTTGGATTCTACTCGTCGATCTTTTTGGGGGTTGCTATGGTTCCTACTAAAAACTTGCTATTTCAGGGTCTATGTTAATCTTTGGGGAGGGTAAACGTCTCTATCATCAGAACTTTACCAGCACTTGCTCTCCTGGAAGATACCTTTGATTTTCTTATCGCACAGGGCTATTCTGATTCTGCCCGAGACTCTGGAGGTTGCGGTCATCACGCAGGGGATAATAACAGCGGCGCTCCAGGTAGACGTGATGAAACTCGCTGTCCGGCAAGAGCAAGCCAAAAGCGCCACAGCCTTTGCGACCGAAGCCTGCGCAACGCACAATGCCACATGCTTCAACCGAAAAAAACTGCAGTAAAGTGAAATCTCCAATTTTTGGGTGATGGTTTATGTATGTATATATAAATCTATCTATCTATCTATCTATGTATGTCTGTATGTATGTATGTATGAATGAATGTATATATGTCTGTACATTATATATACACACACATATTTATATATATATATATTAGCTTTCTTTAAATGGGGGATCCCCAAAATCATGGGTTGCAGCGCTAAAATGGTCTAATTTGGATGATTTAGGGGTACCCCGATTTTTTTTTGGAAACCTCCATATCTGCCATTTCTGGTAAGTCATTTAGGGTTGCGCCTTTGCAAGGAACCACAGAAATCACAGAAAATTCCTGTTCTGGTGAAACCACAGAGCTATGTACAATGTTAGCACATCCCCTTTCTATGGCGTGTGCTAAGATCGAAAAAGAACACTAAGTATGAGGAGAAAGCAATGGCATATGCTGGCAGCAGGCAAAGAAAGTTTCAGCTGACCTCAGCCCGACGCAAGCTGGCCGACTGCGCTCAATCCTGTTCTGGTGAAACCACAGCGCTATGTACAATGTTAGCATACTTCCACTTGAGTGTTGCTATATTTAATTGTGCCCATAGGGCAACGACAGTGTCGGAGACGTCGACAAAACATGCTATATACAATCAAGTGCAAATAGGATCTAAACCAGATCTATCGGAAGAGGAACAAGAACAAAGAGAAAGCAATGGCACATGCTGGAGCAACATTTAAAAAGAGAAACTAAAAGTACCTTATAAGATGATATAAATATATGCACATACAGCAACATGAACGTAGCAGACATGAACGTAGCAGCATAATAATGTATGTTTCCCATCAGCTGACCTTTGCAAGGAAGGTGTTTCCCGCCCAAGCGCAACCAGAAGCCACCCTGGCGTCGCGAGGCCGAGAACTGCGGGCCGCAAACGGGCAGCTGGGCCACTGCAGCTTTCCAAAGTTTCAGGCTGCCCCCGGGCCATTGCCAATCCACCTGGGAGAAGTGGAAATGGTAGTTGTGTGCCACTTTTTCATCTTGTTTCAAGGTGAATTAGTCAGTGAAATTTTTAATGCTGCTGATTGAAATCTCATTACAGATGTGTTTTCCTGGGGTCCTTTTCATCCCCCACCTGGATAGGGGTCACCAAAGGCTTCTCCACCTGCAGGTACACTGCTTGTAGATCTCCGTGCTCCTTGGAGCCCCTTCGGTGGACATCTAGGGCATCCAAAACATCCTGTTGCCCCTGGGGATCTGCCAGGGGCATCACTTTGCCAGAAACTTCGCGATAAGCAGAGCGGTTCAGGGCCTCATGCAAATAGATGCCCAACTGATAGGTGCCGCTGGGCAGCAGTGTATCTTCGGGCAATAGCAGAGCATAGTAACCATTCCCGAAATCGTGGACCAAGGGCTGCATCAGCGCGCGAGGCGAATTTTGGCCATCCAAAAATGCCAGGAAAATATCTCCGCCGCTCTTCTGACCTTGTTGGGATTCAAGGTCCAACTGAAAGTAAAACTAAGAAACACAAATTGGACATTTGTTTCCAGAATCTGTCAAGACCTGGTAAGGCCCAAAGCAAACTTTTAAGTCCTTGGGATTGTTGTGTCCATTTTCCCTCAAAAGGACCTTTCAATGTGTGTTTCACATTGATATGCCAGGTGACACCGATCTTTTGCGCAGCAACTTTGCAAAATCCCCAGCTGGAACCATCCTGCTTTCGCCGCACTGTGTTCCCTTCGAGGTAAGAACCTGCAGAGTTCAACATCAAAAATCCACACTGGGAACCCAAAAATCGCCAAAAAGATCTCTGAGAGCTGTTAGGCGCTGTGTTTCCAGAATCAGAAGGCAAAAAATATGTGCCAAATTCAGGTGAATTGTGCATGGACCATTCCGAATGGAACCATGGACTATATCCCCATCAAATATCCCCATGAAACATCACCATGAAATAGTTCCATCCACCAGTTTGGATGATAAATCCCACCACCTGCTGTGATGCCCACTCGACAACTCCACGCTGCTACAAGATGAAGTCCTCAGCGGGGAAACTGGAACGAATCCAATGCAATTTGAATAAAGATTTCAACCAGCCTTCATTGCTGGGCATATTGGATATTTTGTTAAAAAACAAAAAAGTGCAGATGTGAGTATTTCAAACCAAAAAAACGAAAGAATTTGGATGGTTTGGAACAATGGGTTCGAAGTAAGATACCGACATGGATCAAAATGATCAAAATGATTGACCGTGGTATATGAATATGTAGTTATCCCTATTATGAAATACAATAATCCCGCATAAACCAGTGAATATAGCCTCGTTTTGGAAATGGGTGGGTCACCTTTTGCATTGACTATGTGCAACCCGGCGTCTGCAGCGGCACTCTGGTTTGCCCATGTGCTTCCGGTGTGCCTTTGGATGAAATGCCAAAACAGACGGGGGGTATACACTTTTCACCAGTGCTCACGTGCTACAATTTATAATTTGAAGAACATGTTATGAAAACGAAGTTTCATGTTGTGTCAGGATTTGGGCACTGAAAAGAAATGTTGATTGACATAGTCAAAATTAGTTGCATTCAATATGCGTTAAATCCGGTCATTTTCACATTGCCCCAACAGTAAGCTAAAAGATCAAACAAATCTGCACCAACCTATGCAAACCAAACATGTACAATCAAAACCAGGTTACCACGATGGAGGTCAAACCGCTTTGCTGGGTAGCTGATGTGCAGCACCACCAATACGCTGGCAAGGGCAGCAACACACCACAGCTTTTGACCCATGGGTCAAGGCGCGTGGAAACAGAGCTGGTAGATGATAACAGGAAGTCTTGTCGAATGATGAAAGCATGATTAATCAGATTAATCCATATGTGTTTTGTTTGCATCATCTTGTTTGATTGTGTATCTACAACCGGTTTGGTTGTATAAATTCACATTCATTTGTTGCGCACATGTGTTTTTGTAATGAAACTACGCCATTTTCACTGTTTTAGTTGCGGCTTACATCGAGAAAACATGTTCGCTGCAACCCTGACGGTGCTCCGCGTCTGACTTCAGGTGGCTATAAAGATAAAGTTGATGTTATTACCCCATCAACATATTGTTCATAGAGGGTGGCGAATTTTGATCCCTTACGAAAATAAAGGTGATGTTATTACCCCAGGCAACATATTGCTCATAGGGGGTGGCGAAATTTGATCCCTCATGAAGATTTATTACCCCAGTCAACATATTCTTCATAGTGGGTGGAGAATTTTGATCCCTCATGAAGATCAAGTTGATGTTATTACGCCAATCAACATATTGTTCATAGGGGGTGGCGAATTTTGATCCCTCATGAAGATAAAGTTGATGTTTTTACCCCAGTCAGTATATTGCTCATAGGGGGAGGCGCATTTTGATCCCTCATGCAGATAAAGTCGATGTTACTACCCCAGCAACACATTCTTCATAGGGGGTGGCGAATTTTGATCCCTCATGAAGATAAAGTTGATGTTATTAACCCAGTCAACATATTGTTCATAGGGGGTGGTGGATTTTGATCCCTCATGACGATAAAGATGATGATTATGATGATGGTGATGCTGATCATGATGATGGTGATGCTGATCATGATGATGGTGATGCTGATGATGATGATGACGATGACGGTGATGATGAGGATGATAGTGATTGACTACGACAATGTATTGTGGCAGCTGTTGTTTGGAAGGAACTCTTCGTGGGTCTCAGCAAAAACCGTGGAAAGCACTAGCAAAGACCCTGAAGTCATCCATTGCCCAAATGCAATCGCTCCTTTTTGGGCCACTCAGGTAAGTTGAAAACCTGGCTTGTGCCACAAGACACGCCCTTGCTCTTCAATGGTCCTTGCGAACTCATGCGGTCATGGTATGGGTCAAGACGGTCAGCACTAAAAGTGTCTAAATTTGATGGGCCTGACATTTGGATTTGTCAGAAAGAGACCATACCCCTGACTTAAACATTAAGTTTATTGGAACTCATTCTACAAACCATTGGATGCTGTAGCCTCCGGGGAAAACTCGATTTTCACAACACAATGATTAATATCAACCATCATTAAATTGAATACATGTTATCAACCATAAATTTTCAATATCATCACTATATACATTATATGGGTATGGGTCAATGCCTATAGTAATCCATTTTTAGTGGGTTATTCACATCCATAAATCCCAGCTATGACTTGGGGTTCACGGCACGGTACCAGGGTTTTGACCCATCCCCATATTAATATCAACCATATATTTTCAATATCATCACTATATACATTCTATTAATATCAACCATATATTTTCACTGCCCGACTTCCAGACATCTCCTGCCCAGCCAATCTTTCTGATCGGTGCATGTCCATGTCTCATCGAAGCGATGCCAGCCATCTGTTCCTGGCTCCATCCAAGGAGGAACCACCAGCAAAATTGGTGCCATAACAAGCACCAATATGTCGCATATTTGTAGCATATGGTCGTCGAAATCCTATTGGGAAATCCCAGAAAATATGGGTCTATTGAAGCCGTAAAGGCCTATTAAAAATGGTGGCAGCCAATCACCAGCCACAGGTAACCCATTTTGTGACGGCACATCACCATTACACAGGTGTAATGGCCAACATCGTAATACAAAGGCCAGGCGCATGTCCAACTATCTGCGAGTCTGGCGGGACCAACATGTGTGTCTGATTCGAGAACTTGACCCATAGCCAGGGATATGTAATACTATGATATTAAATATAACTATATATAGCTATATATAATAGCTATATATATATACTATATATAATTAACTATATATATATTTTAACTATATATACTATAAATAATGTCACATATAGATCATCTATTCATATGTCATCATGAATCCATCTCGGGAAAGCCCTGGACATGACCGCGCGGAACCTGGACCCCAGCTTTTGGCCGCGGACATGAGCTTTGCGATCCTCGGGATCTCTTGGGATTCCCGATCAGTGGGATGTTGGTGTTTTAATGGGATACCATCTGGTTATTTAATGGTGATTCAATGGTGATTCAATGGCATTTAATGGGATATATGATGATATACCATGGAAAGATCCACCATGCTATTAAGTTCGGTAAACCATCTATTTCGATTAGGGCCATCTAAAAACCATGGCGAACTGTTAAATAACCAGAGGGTATAATGGGGGATCTTCAACATCCCAATGGGAAAGAAAAGTGGATGTATCAACACTATGACAAGATGTACGAAAAAAAACATCCCATGAACCACTTTCAGATATATAAACAGCTATACAGCTAAACTTGGATGATAAGGGGGAAATGGTGAAATTCCCTGTAGGGAAAGCGGGATGAAACGCTCCCAATAAAACAGACTATCCTGGGGATGGTAGTTGATCCCGTTTTGAAGTTTGATCCCATGACCTTGAACCCATCATTTTGGAAACCATTCAAAACTACTGTGAGAGCACCTTCTTGACCAAAACTTACAACGTTGGCTCACAGTTCCAAGTGAAAAAGTCTACTGTGCTAACTTCGATGTGAATCTCCAGTCAAGTTGAACCCCGGCATTAAGAATCATATCCAAGGCGTGGGAAAAAACAAATCAAATTACATGGATATCACATCCCATTCATCCACTTCTCCCATTTCGAGTTTCTTCTTTGGATCTGCTCCCTTTTGTCCAGCAGCGTGTCCATGGGTCATTGCCTCGGTCAACTGGCAGTCCCATGTGCATCAACTGGTGGATGCCGCGATGCCCCCCAATCTCCGGAAAAAACCCTCGGAAAATCCATCCTTAGCCGATCTGTGCCATCAAATATTCTATGATCGCCATGGTAAAGAAATGGCCCAGCAACAGTCGGCCTTCCGTCTCCAGTCATTCTGAGTTTGCAGCCAAGAAATTCATGGAACTGGGCGCAAACCTCACAGGGATGATTTCTGGGTTTGTCTCAAACAACGCAGGATATCCTATTTCTGGCCATCCAAAAATGAGAATGATGAAGCATTTAGGTAGCCAATTTCGAGACATTCCCGAAAAATGTGGACTTCTTGAAATCAGGATGGAGGAATGTTGGGATTGAGTGGATTGAGATTGGGACGTATTTGATCCCTTCATTAGCATCTGTTAGGCGAGGACAACTGAATGTCGCAGTGGAAATCCTTCATCGCTGGATGATTTTCCATGAAAGGTGGGTTTTCCAACATCTTCATCTGATTTCATCTGATTATCCTATCATATCCTATTTTCCCATCATGGCTAAAGCTAACCTACACGACATCGCACGTCCAGGTGGCCATCGACTAAGTTGGGAGCTGCTCTCCGAGGAATCGATCTTGCAGCAGGACCTGCGTTTCCCGACGCCTGTGACTTTTTTGGATCAAGAGAAACGGTTAGAGAACAATATATGTATATATATATATTATATGTATATATTATAGATATATGTATATATGTATATGTATATATATATATACATATATATATATATATACATATCTGTGCGTATGGAAATTCCAATTGGTTCGTGGGCTGGCAAGTTCTGACCACATGTCCTTTCCTGTTTCCTTTTCGTGCGACTTACTCCCTCAACGAGCCGCGCCTCAATGCACAAGTCGTCGATGAGGGCAAGTTGCTCCAGCTGACCTTGGCAAAATCATTGGGGGAATGGTTTACCCAGTTTACTATGGGATAAACCATTGGGTAAACCATCTATTTCTATGGGATGTTGGGTTTTAATGATATTTTAATTTAGCTACCACCTGGTTATGACTAACATAGCCATGGAAAGATCCACCATGTTTAATAGGTAAACCATCTATTTCGATTAGGGCCATCGAAAAACCATGGCTATGTTAGTCATAACCAGAGGGTAATAAGCGTGGTAAATCCAGAAATCCCAATACGAATGTGGTAAAAATCACTGGTAATCTGGTAAAGTTATGTGGTAAATCCAATTCGAAACCTCTATTGGGGATTGTCAAACAATTGAGCTTAGAAGACTATCCACAATAAATTGGGGTGCAATGTGAACATATGTGAAATTTCAGCAGGATGTATTTCCACGGGGACATATCGGATATATCGTACATCCCCACCCCAAGTTGAACATCTCCGTTTCTGGAGGTGGGTTTCGTTGCGTTGACCCCAATGGTTGGCCCGAGCCCAATTCAATGGTGCTGAAACTCATTCGCCCCCTCTCCAGGTTCAAAAATGGATCACCCTCTCTTCCTGACCCCATTCTGGAAAGAGATGATTTTGTCACCAGCAGAATCCCAACACAAACGCTCCCCGTTCAGGATTGCTTCCGCCCCAGATATGTTTGTGGTAGATAAAGGTAGATAAAAGAGTAGAATGACAATTTTCCACTCTTTGTGGCTATGTGCCTAGTCATACCATGGGTTGGAGATACCCTTGTTGTGATCCCGTCCGTCTCCGACTGAGCGACTTTGTGCAGTTGGCTGCCTGGAAAATCGGGCAGAATATCATCTGTAAATTATTCAGCTATTCAGCACTCATGTTTCTTTGCAATGTTAGATTACCAATGACTATCTATCACACACCTCACTTTTGTGTGTTTTTTATTTGGCTTGCCACATCAACTCTACAGATGTCGGTGGGTTTTTGTGTCTCTCAAGCTCAAGTCAGTGATTTGGAAGTTTGAATGTAAGATGATAGTTAAAGGTCGACATGAAAATCAGCAACAGCTATACATATCAGATGCAATAAGTCGATATAACAAGAGCATCCACTGCTTGGCGGTTGAGCCTCATCATCCCGGGTTGGATGGGAAAAAAACCACCAGCTGTCTTGGTTGTTAAAATGGGTAAACTTCGATTAACATCCCATTAACATCCCATGAAAATCCATAAACATCCCATTAACATCTCTTAAAATCTGATTAAAATCTGATTTAACACTGATTTTTCCGCATTGAATCAATTTGAATCCCATGAAAATCCCATTGGTCAAAGTGCTTTCTGCCTCCTCCGTGCTGTCACGCGCACTTCACCACCTTCCTGCGAGTTTGATGCGGAGTGGCCATGAAGTTTCCAAAATTGCCAGAAATCGGCCAAAAAATAAGACATACCTGTTATCTCCATCAAGGAACTTTGAATTTTGGTATATGTTTAATCTGTTTTGTCCAGGGCAGGTTCACAAAAAACCGACTCCGGGGACAAGACCAGCAAAATTTAGAGGATTTTAGCAATCGCATAGCAGGAGGTTGTTTCCACAACATCAGTACAAGGGTTTGATTCAAATTTGATTCTTAAATTTGCTTCAAATTACCCTCTGGTAATTTAACAGTTTGCTATTGAACATGGCCATAGAAAGTTCGTGGATTTTCCCATTGGACATGGCGATTTTCCATAGTTTTTTGTATGTTTACCAGAGGGTACCAAATTGACCTGTTGAACTGTTGTCGTTGAGAAAGCCTTCGGATCCAAAGATACGAAGGATTCGGATTGTCCTGATGGAATTCCAAGCTATGCACACCACCTCGGTGGATAGTGGACACATGAATTCTGAGGACACGACATCACGACATCTCAACTGAGAAATGTCGAAAATGGTAGAAATATCTCCATGACAGCTTGAGAATAGACTTCAAAGAAGCTCCAAATATCTCCAAATTCCAGGTGCCCTTCAAACATCAAGCTTTTTGCTGGATGTCCAATGGCAGATCACCACCTAAGGATCGACGGACGTCAGGCTTCCCCACTGCAGCCTTGTGGTGGGGCATTCAAATAGCCCCAGAAGGCCTTTTCTGCCACATAGGCAGGTAAGTAGTATTGAGCCAAGGACCTGCGAGGGATCATTTGTTGGAATTTGGCTGGGCTGAGACGGAAAACAAAAACCATAGCGAATCAGACAGATTACGATATGACGACATGTTGAAACTGACATAGGAACATTGGGGATTGAACCTGATTTTTGGTGGGTTTACACAATGATGTGTTCCAAATCGATTAGAGATTCTACTTGGTGCTCTTGGTCCCATGAAAAGTTTGGTGGGTTTTCCTTCTCCCAATGACTCTGAGACTCCAAACTCGTGAACCCTGCGGAGCTTGGAAGATTGAAGAGGGAATTCCTCTTTCCGTTCCTGCCAACATTTGAAGGCCGCTGACCTCAGGATCAATTTGTGCATGGTCTGCTGCTTTTGAAATCAGAATAAGATGATCAGATGGTGATGGTCTTGTTACTAATGTGATCATTTCCTGATAATGTTAATAATCTTATTCCAAACACCATCAGAAATGTTACTTATCGTATCAGATAATGTTCATAATTAAGATGATCAGATAGTGATGGTCGCTTTACTGATTGTGTTAATAATGTTAATAATGTTAATAAGATGGTGATACGATTTCCAACCATGAAACCCTGGCATCCCACTGAGAGGCGGTCCGACTGAAGTCACTGCCTCCAGGTTTCAGCCAAAGAATGGGTGAACCTGGGGGGACTACACCGGGTAAATTGGGGATCTACTCCATTTGCCTTGAAATCATTGGCATTTCAGATGTTGAGACATATCTCTGATCATTTCTGAATCGAAATGCTTCAATGTTGGATGGGTCGCCCTCCCAACGGCACCTAAGGTCTTCAGTAGGTCTTCCCTGAGCTCCACAGCTCGTGGTAGTGCCGGGAAGTCCAAACCGATGACCTCAACGGATCAGATTTTGGGAGCTGAGTTTTGATGTGCATTAACCCAGTTTACTATGGGATAAACCATTGGGTAAACCATCTATTTCTATGGGATGTTGGGTTTTAATGATATTTTAATGGGATACCATCTGGTTATGACTCACATAGCCATGGAAAGATCCACCATTTTTAGTAGGTAAACCATCTATTTCTATGGGCCATTTTCCATGGCTATGTTAAATAACCAGAGGGTAACTCATTTTAAAGTCCGCTCCCCCCTGGTAAATTAACTTGTTGACCCTGAAAATCACCAATTTTTAATGGAAACTAGTCTTCCAACCCCTATCTGCCAGGGTCTATGTTAATTTACCAGATGGTAAATGGGATAAATGATCCCAAGAACCAACAACAACTAACAACAACTATTGTTTTGGGGGTCTTTAAATTGGACCTTTGAAACCATGATAAGTTTGACCATGGATTGATGGTTGAAAACACCTGCAAAGGCTGTAAAGAATCATAATGGTGGCAGTGGGGCTTCCCTCATTAAAGTTGTGGTGACTGTGACCAAGATACCAAACTTCTCTTGCTTTGAATATAACACATACGTAGAGCATGGGCTGCCAGCAATGAATTTCAAGACTTTTGCCTCACTTCTGATGTTCAACTAACATCGTATTCATTCGTATTCCCATGAACCGGTGGCAATTAGGGATCAATCCTCGATTTCAGACCCAACTATCATATCAACTGGGGTGAGACATATCCCTGAAAATATCGCGCAAAATTGTCCCAGTATCATGATGAAAAATCTTCTTTCTTGATGGTTAAACCATGTTAAACCGCTGAAATCAGTTAGACCACAGGGTTCACTTCCCCGCCTCCACAATCAGCGGCCGCCAGGAGTCAGTGGGCACCGAAAGAATGAACCGCAGCTCCTTTTCCAAGCGAATCTGTGCGCCCATCCTGTGAAAAAGTTCAGTGGAACATGACAGCTATGTTTTGGGATTTGAGATTTCATGGGGGTAAAATGATGGGGATAATTGATGATTCAATATTTCTCCCCCATTTTTTGGAATCTTCTGCTGTTTTGATCGCGTGGAAAGATCGACAAAGGAATTCTGAAGCGCCTGGAACGAGTTGCAAACTCACCCAGCAGCTCTTCATTGAAAAACACTTTCAAGGAGGCGCCTAAGTTGTCGGGCACAGGAACCAGCCTATCTGATGAAGATCTTCCTTGAAATCCCTGGAGAATTCCTTGGGACTGAAAAGGCACAGGAACCTTCAAATTTCATTCGCTTTTCACCACATTTTCAATTGCCATAACTTGCGGGGAATCCGAGAATTGCCCCAACGTCCCAACTGGTTTGCTCCCGAAAAAAAAATCTGGAGCTTTGAGACCACATCACAAAGACATGTCACAGAGCATTCTTCCCAAATACCTCGAAAAAAAAACGATGTTTTCAGAGTCCTTACCGTCCTTAGCTTCACTTTTGTCTTCGTAGATTGAAATCCTTCTAATCCCCCGGTTTTTAGATCCCAACCATCCAGCTCGGCATGATTGATTGCCTTTCGTGCACAGGCAAGAGGTGAAGTTTTTCGCCAAATTTTGTCATCTCCCCTGATCAATCCCCGACCAATCTTGAGCATAGCATTTTTTTGGGATCCAAGTCAATTTAGATAGTTTTCCAATGGTAAACTCCTATCCCATCCACCTAAGTCAGCATTGAACACCCCATAAAGACAATGGTTTTTCACGGGGGATCTTTCAACACTGGGACGGGCTCAGAGCCTGAGGTAGGTGGTCCATGACACCCTGCAAGAGAGCCTGGCAGTGAAGGCAGCACCACTCACTTCCGACTGTCCTGTTTTTTGGGGGTGAAGTGGGGTGGGAGGGGTGGGGTGGGGCAATAATGTTCACTGGAACTTCACCCGGGTTGGTAGTTTGCACTCACTTCACTCGACTAGTCGTTACAATTCGTCATGACATGTATGATAAGAAGCACGGTCATGATGATCAGAAGGATCATGAAAGCCATGATGATGACAGTGCTACTGAGGATGATGATGATGATGATGATGATGATGATGACGATGATGGTGATGATGATGATGATGATGATGATGATGATGATGATATGATGCTGATGGTGATGGTGATGGTGATGATGATGATGATGATGATGATGATGATGTTGGTGATGGTGATGGTGATGATGATGGTGATGATGATGATGATGATACTGGTGAATATAGTGAAGTTGACACTCACAGTGATGCTGGTGATGAAGAATAATAAAAATAAGAATGAGGGGTTGATGTTAAGGGTGCAAGCGATTTTGACGGCGATGATGAAAATGATGACACTGAAGGTGCTGATTCATGGTGGTGATGAGAATGATGGTGATGATGTATCTACTGATCATGATGATGACGGTATGAAAGATGCGAATCATTAGAATTCTGTCGATGGTTTGAGAAAGTCACAAGGGAGCGGATCCGACAGTCACACGCGAGTCATAGTTGGGATGATTATTCCATTCCCAACTGAATGGAAAATCATAAGATTCATTTTCCAAACCCAGACCTCCATTTATAGGGGATATCCATTTATAGGGGAGATTCCATGGTTCCAAATACCAACCAGACAGAAATGTTGTTGGAAAAATCCCAGCAAAAGGTGCCAGCGGATCCGACCTCAATCAGCTGGAAGGCAGCAGACCACATCTCTTCGCCAACGTCGATGGCCATCTTCCATCTGAGCCACTGTTGCTCCCATTCCTTCGGTGAAATCAGGGCGGGTGATTCACCAACCAATGGACTGGTTGGTGGTTGAATAACCAGCTTGAAAAATGATGGAGTCAATGGGGTTGGGATGACATCCCATATATGAAATGGAAAATAAAACAGGTTTGAAACCATCAACCAATGGATGAATCACCAATGGATTTTATGGACAAACCAGAATTTTATGGACAAACTACCAGATATCCATAGGCTGAATGTGAAAATGTGAAAATCTCTGGGAATCCTCTCCTTTTTTCGCCCTGTTTTCCTGGTGCCTTTTCGCCTTGCATCCTCGAAGCAGTTGCCACTGGTTGCTGCCAAAAAAACTGGTTCGAATCAAATGTGTTACAAACAAAAAGATAATCACACAACATATGCGATTGGTGGATTTGGATTTTCCGACATTATTCCATTTAGCTTTGTCTGGAATTGGCTGATTCCCTTCAAATTTCCATGCTTTCCATCATGGCGAATTTTCCCTATCATGGCCGGTCCAATGTTCAAACCGCTGTCCTCATCATCCAGTGAACTATCGAAGGAATACTCCGCTGCTGCTTCCCGTACCTCCGGTGGCAGGGCGTTCCCACTGTGGCAACCCCACAACCGCCATCCAGCGCACTAAGGTCGCGCCCAAACAGCCAAAGGACTCGAGTTGCTCCAGAAGGATCTCCTAAGACAATCCAAAAAACAACATCAAAAACCTCCAAAAGTGATTTCCAAAAAAAAACCAACCCAACACTTTTCCAATTTTCCAACACTTTTCCAGCGGGATACAGATCACTTGGGAGAAAGGAGATATCTCACCGTGTCGCCCGTGTCGCTCCTGCCCGTCTTTGCCATCCGTCTCCTGAAAACACAACCGATGTCACAGTTTCTCAAGATCAGGTGAAATGTTACACATTTCGACATTATTTTTGGTAAATTTTGACATATTTCCGTTTCATCCAATTTTGAGAAACTATGAGATGATACATTCATGCACATTTCGGATGTTCAAATGATTGCATGCATCCAACTGGTATGAATACCATTGGCATCTTCGAAAAAAAGAAAGCAAACTTAGCCACAATCATCATGGACAAATAGAGCTTCTGCAAATTCTCAAGACATCCTGGAGGAATGAGTGATAGCTAATGTATATGTCGTCTGTGAAACTTCCCCACTCAAGGGCCGCTGCTACAAACCTTAATCCATCAGGAACTATTCCAGGTCCCACAAACACTGCAACTTGGCACTGAAAAGGCTTTGATGCTCTGTCTTGTTGAGTCTCACCCCTGAAAAGCTGCTAGCTTCATTGTTGCTCCATCACCTTGGGGAAATCATCTGCCAGTTTTAGAAGTAACCTGAAATGAGATATCAACATATATCAATTACTATTCACACTATCAACCAAGATTTCTGATGACCAACAGAGTTGAGATTCCCACGATACAACCGACACAACCGACACCTTTGGAGCAGCTCTGGGCGAAGGACTCCAAAGATTGAAACCGCATGGGTAGCATTGACCCATGCCCGAAACTGTAACTGTCAGAGAATCTGAGAGGACTTTCGGACTGAGTAGCTTCTAAACCCTGGTTTATTCGTTTCGCAAATCAACCATCGTACACACAAATACGTTGCTTCCTGAATCCTTGTCTCACGAAGCCATTGCTGTTGATAGTGCTTATGTTGGGTGTCATGGTTGATCATCCTTTGGCTCAAACGGCCGGTTTGCATATCTACCATTTCTGGAAAAACCCAACTATTCCTTCCGAATGAAGCGGTGGGAGGGTTCGCACTGAACCCACTTGGCAGTCTGTTTCATGCTGCGGTACTATCTACTGTAGCACTTTAGACTTTGGAAAACCTTGAGAAAGCTGCAGGAGAAATCACCAATGAAATTGCTGCGACCCAAAACAAGGCGGCAAACCAGCGAGTTTTTCTGGTTGAAGGAACCAAGTATGTGGCACAGTGGACAACAAATTTCTTGTCGAAGCTTTTTTGCTGAGAAAATCCACCGTCAAACATCTAAAGCCTCAGACTTTTCATGGGCCTCGGAATCCACGAGAGGTAAGGCTTGGGGAGGGATGGCACTGATTCTGCCAAGATTTTCTCGCTGAGCTGGAAACCACGCGTTTCTTGGGCTTGTTCCAGGGCACATAGCCGTACTGAACCATATGCATGATCTGACACGGAGCCGTGTCAGTCCGTTTTGGCCTTGCTTCAACATCTTCAACATCAACATAGATTGACACCCTTGGAATCCTACTATTCACAGCAAAATGCAATGGGTTCTAGTGGATGTTCATCCCACCCTTCACATCGATTGTCTGATGAGGAAAAAACATCCATCCCATGGAGTTTGCAATCTTTTGGCACTTTTGACGTCAATGCATTGGGGTGTTCCTACATTTTTTTGGTCGAAAATCGGTTTTGACGCATAGTTATATCATGTTATATCGCTGGCATCGTGTGTTCCATCCCATTGGAAGGCACCTGTTGCTTCATGGTGTACACGAAGAGCAGCACGAAATAAACCAACAAAGCACGACCTCAAAGCTGTGTGACAACTGGAGTCGCAAACTTCCCGAGTCGTTGGGTGTTCGTTGGGTGTTCGTTGGAGGGATAGAACATCTCTTTATCTTTTAAACATATGGTTTTTCACTAAAGAAAACCCCCGGCTTTGTGGAAATATGGATCCCAAATAAGTGAACCACCATGTTGGATAGCTATGGAGCAGCACCCCCCTGTATTCTGCTTGTGTGTACAATCGTACTGTTGGTGGACACAAAGAAGCTAAATCCTGAAATTCACTGTTAGAATCCATCAGCGTATTGTCAGAATACCAAGAAGCACCATTCATCAGCCATTCAACAGCAACTATGCACCCATTAAATGAGTTTGTGCAGTTGAACACTCGAATTCTCAAATTCAAATGTTGTTTTCTAAGAGGAAATCAACACATTCAACTATCAGTGGATTGGGTTTGTTGGAAAAAAACTCCAAGCAATCGTAAATCATGGGGTTTTATCAACCAATAAAAAACAGGGTTTCCACTTAAGATTACCACATCCAATCCAATTCCAGAATTCCAGAATTCCAGAATTCTATTCAATTAGTCCACCATTTTTCCTGGTTCACTCCATCTACCCTCTGGTAAACTCTCACAAAAAACCTATGGAAAGATCCACCACTTTAATTGGGTAAATCAACGAACTTTCTATGGCCATTTTCAATAGCTTTTTGTATGTTTACCAGAGGCTATACCATCATATATCCCATCAAATCCTATTGAATCCCATTGAAGCACCATCATATATGCCATTAAAACATAATTTTCATGGGTAAATAGCAATGTTTGTTTACCAGAGGGATCCAACAGAGGAAGAGGATAATGACTGTAATGGTTTGATAATGTTGGATAATTGGATGATATTCATTTATTACCATTCTCCAACCACTATTATCCATTTATAATCTTATAATTTTAATTACATTATTTAATTTAACATATAACCTATATCGATTATATAACACTATTTATACATTTATAATAAATAATCTATGGATATTATCCATTATATATTATAGATTACCCTCTGGTAAATTAACATAGACCCTGGCAGATAGGGGTTGGAAGACTAGTTTCCATTAAAAATTGCTGATTTTCAGGGTCGAACTGTTTATTTACCAGAGGGTAATGATGTTTAAAAATTCCATTCACCGTCTCCGTTTTTTTAAGCGCACCATCCACATCCAGGTCCAAGTCATCGATAAAGGTGACAATGAAGGCTGCCATGGTCGCCAAGGTTCCTGTGGGCTCGGCATACTGGCGATATATTTGGGGTATATATAGTATAATATATATATATATATGTGATATATAAAATTATATATATATATATGTTTTTATATATGGGCTCAGAAATATGGGATATGATTGGTACTTACCGCTTAACATGGGGATATAGTGTTTACGGGTTGAAAAAGGGGGCTCCCAAATCCAGGGCGTATCATCATTTTCCATATTGACATGCTGCTTTTTTGGGAGGCCCATCTTCAGACACACCCATGTGTAATTGTATAGAAATAAGGGATATAATTTGGATTTACCCCTCACTGGGGACTAAACCAACCAGTTTATTGAAATGCAATTGGATATCATGCGATACACAAGCACCAATATGAAATAGGTTGGTTCAAAATGGGGTGCACCCCAAGAGTCCAGTGATTAAGTATCAAGTTCCATAATCAATAGGGGTTTTAGCCAGGCCACAAATTGGCAAACATGAGTCTCTTCAACGAATTGCATATTTGGCCAACTGATTTTCAGTACTTGCATAGAACCATTTTTGAACCTTGAGAAAGCATGTGAAAATGAACATGAACAGTTGATCCCTTTTAACCTTGAAAATGAACATCAAAAACGATCCCTCAGTGTATTTTTTCAGAGATCCTGGCAGAAAAAAAAGGTGCTTTGGTACCAAAAGTTCCGGAAAAGTCACCTGAAAAGTTACCACTGGTAAAAATGACCACTGCTGGAAACGAATTGCTGTCCTCGGCACCAGAGTCGAAACTCTGAAAGGGCTCGAACAAAGGGACGATACCTGGCAAGTTCAGTGATCACTGGAGTTGGGAAAATCGAAACCGGAGACCATGATTTTCCCCATGAAATTTAGGGGCTTCCCGTGAACATTTCCCTGTAACCAATCCAATGAAAGCTGCAAGGTTGAGATTAAAGCAGACTAAGTAGACAAAACATTGAGGGGCAAGACACATGTGCGTTTTCTGTCAAGTAACGTACAGATCAAATACGAAAATGAGGATAAAACCAGATACCACTCAAGGATTTGATTCAATCCTCAAATCAAAATAACTTCCTTTTGAACTCCAAAATAATGAGATTCAATACATTCTCATGACTAGGTTTTTGGGACTGTTAATGATTCTGGAAAGGGATCGTTCCTTCGGTAAGACTTAATTTATGGAAAAACATCCCAAGACACTGGCAATGTTGGCCAAGTGGGGCAACATGTCTTCTCATTGGCTGGTTTTTGTTCATCCCGGCATATCAAATTCTTTCTGGTTCGAAAATCCCCCATGATCTCATTCTTCTCCCATTTTCCAGACTATATATATATATATGTATATGGGTTTGTCTGAAAATAGGGTTAATCTTCCCAATGAAATAGCCATTTAAAAACGGGATAATGATCAGCAAAACCATTGGGTAAAAAGGGGTTTAGCCAACATTTTCAGACACACCCATATTTATCCGCCATTTTCAATGGTGAAACATCCGCCATTTTCGACCATCCCGACACCCCGCTTCGGAGCGATTCGGATCACTCACTGCTCTTGCTTCGAGCTGGGAGATGGTCGTCCTGGAGAGCCGGGATGGAGCCACCAACCTATGGAATGGGATGGAGCCATTAGGGATATCTTCCTAATGTCAATGGGAATTCCAGGATCCTAAAATGGAGGTACGTTAGTACCATGTAAGGCCATATTTTGTGGGGATATTTCCTTACATAGGCCTGAAAAATAGGCCTTATATATGGTAGGTACCTCCAATTTAGGTTCCTGAGATGGCCAGTGATAATGGGTTGTGTCATGTTCTGTGCACATGTTAAACCATAGGGTTTTACCAAAAACCAATTTCTCAATGATATCTTAGAATTTTAAAATGTCAATAGGGTTTTACCAAAAACCAATGGATATTCCATGTTCATCCTAATGTCTATTTTTTTTTGAGTTGAATGGGCTACTAATGGGATATCAGAAAGGAGATTAGGAAAATTCTAATTGGATCTTACAATGGAGAGTAGGATATTTCAATATTTTTCCTCATGGGGTCTTAGAATAAGATACTGGCGGGATATTCCAAGAGGATATTTTAATAGGGATGTTAATAGGAATAATTGGATCTTGCAAAGGGATATTATCGTAGGATATTTCTAGGATATTCTAAAAGAATACTACAAAAGGATATGCTATTTTTTTTTGAGATATTAATAGGGACTCATCGGGTATACGGGTGATTTAATGAAAGACTTGTGGGGATAGGGAGGTATAATATACATATATATACATACATATACCCTCTGGTTATTTAACATAGGGTATAGATGGCCCTAATCGAAATAGATGGTTTACCAATTAATAGCATGGTGGATCTTTCCAGTTCGCAAACTGTTAGTCATAACCAGAGGGTAAAAAATATGATATGATATGATATATATCTGGCATATTCATAGCATATTATAATAGGACTATTTTCAACATATAGGGATATATATATATATATATTGTGGGTTTGTTGGGACCAACGTTTTCCATCCACATCTCGACTCAAGGACGAGAGAGGACGCAAGGCCGCTCCTCTGTAGCTGGTGACAAGAAAAGAAGTACCTCACCGGCGACTTGCTCGACTTGCGACTTGCTCGTATGAAAAAATATCGATATGTCGATATGTTTGAAAATAATTAATATATTGCTAATAGAGATTGATTGATATAGATAATGATTACTGTAATACATATGATCATTAATATATAGATTGATAATGATTATAGATGGATTATAGATTGATTATAGATTGATTAATGATCCTATTGAATATAGATGCTGATTATATCATATTATCTGATTCGCCAAGTTATCTTCATGCTATCTTCATTGAATATAGATATTGAATCTTGATAGTATCATTGAAGATAACGTGAAGATGAAATAAATATCTGGATAACATTTTTTTTTTTTTAAATGTAATGACCAATATCATAATGACAATGGGATATGTATATATATATGTATAAATACAAAGATACTGATACGGATCAATGTCATTTTTTTTGATATAGCAGACATATCATCAAGATTTTGATAATGATATGTATATATATATATATATATGTATCTTGACTTAGGGCCACCAAACTGATGTTTCCTCCAACATTGTGCACCGCAACGGTGAGGCCATTTGGGGTCCGGAGAAGCTATTTTTGGATGCTCCAGAAACAGAGGAATGGTTCATGGTTTTCAATCAACCAGGAGGTATAACCGCCACTCAACAAGGATTCTTTCGATGCTGCACCTGGTTCAAAACGTAGATCGCCAAGACATAGACCGCAAAGTAGTGGCGCTGCGCAACATCGCGGGCTCCCAGGGATTGGTTAGAATGATTGCAAGCAATCAATTTTTTCCAAATCAAGATTAGCTCCTTTATTTTCCATCCGTTCACTTTGTTTCTCTTAGTGAAATCAGCATCGCTTCCTACTAAACTACCAAATTCTTGCAAGGTTCAAATTTCTTTCTGGCTTGGGTCACCAGCAGAATTCAGACCGGTTAGTCTACATCACCTTGGTGCAAAAATACAATCCAAGGTTTCCCTGCATTCATAGATCTCTGATACGCTTTGGTTGAATCATCACCTGGTCATCCCCATCCCACAAATTGAGGAGGATGACCAACCCTTTTTGATGGGACAAAAATCATCAATAGTCATCCCAATCATCACCTGGTCATCCCCATCCCATAGTTCTTTTTTATGGTATCTTGGTCTTGGGTCAACAAGTGACCATAATTCAAGTCCCAAAAAAGATCACCTTCTCCTCCAGGAATCCCATCCTATTGGGGGATGATCATCCTTTTTGAGTGATGGGAAAATTGATGCCGTTGAAAAAACCATTGGTTTCCAGATCAAACATGACCAGTAACTTGGATCTTGCGGGATCATCATTTTGAAATTGCTGCAGCTGTTTTTTTTTCCGACTTTGATGTTGGGCAAACACCATATGCTTTGGGGTAAAGTGACCAGCATCATATTGTAAATAGTTGGTTTTATCTATCCCATGATGATCCCATGATATCAAACCATTGCTTTAATCACCTGGTCATCCCCCATTTTTCCGGATCCCCCTGATGGAATTATCATTTTCCCAGCATTTTGGCTCATTTTTCCATGGAAATTCGCCATCTTGCCTAGGCCTTTCCCATGGTTAACGGCGCCACGGGTTAAGCCTCCAGGGCGTAGATCCGCCAGGCGAAGGCCAACTCCAAAAGGAGGAAGAAGAGCCAGCGGCAGCGGAGCCATGGCACCTGGCTGTAGGTTTTCATAGGTTTCTCTACATGGCTGAGGTTTACTTCTGACATATACTGTCTACATTAAGTTATCATTTGTATGTTAATAGATATTTGAGTTTCTATGGTTTCTATGGTTGTGCCTTTCATGTGGATATTTGATATTTAGATGTAGATATAGATATGTGTCGTATACTATGGTTGATGTCATTTGTACTATTTACAGTAATGATACATTTATAGTGCACATATAGTTAAAGTTAAAGACATACATGTATATATATATATTAATATACATACTTAAAGGCTAGTTAAAGGCAGTATATAAAGATATTATATATATACATATCGTATACTATTGTTATGATATATAGTACATATAGCTATAGATATACTATGGTTTATATCAGTTGCACTACTTATATATGTATATCGCATATTCGTGCCATGATGTATATATATATATAATATTATATGTATATATTCATAGTACATGTAGATGTATCTATTGTTGCGACTTTTATAGTTCATTTCTATAGTATACGCAAATATGTGTATGATGTATGTATATGATATATTGACTGCATGATTCTAAAAAGGCTGGTATACATATATATATATATAAATAAATATATATATATATATAAATGGTTGTATTTGTAATGCAAACACGCTTATTTGATCATATCGCAGTCAAACAAAATAGCCTACGGATATCATTTTATTTGATGATATTCATCTATGATACACTGATGAAATGTAGTTGTACTCGTTTATAATATATATTTTTAAAATCCAGATGACATGCATATAATTACGTATATATATATATATATATACATATATATACATATATATACATATATATATATATAAATATCTAAACATATGTATATATATATATATGTAGAATGTATTTACCTCAAGGACCTGACTCCATATTCTGATACCCGAACTATGTTGATGAACAAGGGTAAATGGCTGGCATACTTACCAATATCCAACCAAGACAATGACAGTTTTGATGTGAATGGTTCAAATAATTACACATGAGAGTATACCATAAGCATATATCCAACTTCCCGTTATCCTCCAATTTCCTTTCACAGTTTGTGGCATCTAACAACCGGTCAAGAGGATATCATGGAAAACTCAAATGATCACCTCAAATTAATTCGTGGATTATTTATGGTTAATGGAGGCTATCAAGATTTGATACATGTTGATACACATGTCTAGTCCGCTGAATAATCATCATACCACAGTTTCCACTAATCCATTCTATCCATCATTTTTGATGGATAATCCATCCGTTCTAACAATCATTGATCCATAAATGGATGGTTGTGTGCCCATTATGGATGATTAGATAGATCATGATAGGTTATGATAGATCATAACCTATGATAATCTATCAATGGATTTCAATCATCCTATTATGTTGTGTGCCCATTCTACCACCATTTTTCACGACGAACGGCCGGTCTGAGTTCCGGTCCAAAGGGTCTGAGAACTGCAGAATGATCCTGTGCCGAAATGGGGTAGCAATACATATCTGGTTGGTGGATGACCTACTTGGTTAATGGTGATTAATGGTGGTTAATGGTGATTAATGATGGTAATGATGGTTAAATGGTGATTAATGATGGTAATGATGGTTTCAGATACATGGCTTTAATATGGCTTTAATATGGATAATAATGGGATAATAATGGGATAACATATCTGGTTGGTGGTTGACCTACCCCTCGGAAAAATGATGGAGTGAAAGTCAGTTGGGATGATTATTCCCAGCTGAATGGAAAGTCATAAAATTCCATGGTTCCAAACCACCAACCAGATATTACGTGGGGTTCGATTTATAATCCCATCCCCCTAATATTAAACACCCCAATTGCATGGTTCCAATGGAATGTGGAAATTCCCTACATCCACCATGGTTTGTTTCGTTTAGGGGGTGTTTAATATTAGGGGGGATGGGATTGGCTGAGTTATAGCTGGTTACAAGATGATAAGCAATGAACACATAGAAACTCTGATGCGCATCCAAGCAAGAGAGCTGCAAACTGTGCTGGAAATTTGGGAGAACCCAGCCTGTCGATGCGCTTCCAATCGCACAACCTCAAAGAAACTGTGATTAAGGGTTCCAGACTGTTCCAGATCATCACTCAGAAGAAGCATTTCAGCAGATGTTCAGAACCACAGTTGAAATTCATGAAACCTCATTTTTCTCCATGAACAAAAACCATCATTTTTCCATTCAGAAGCAGCTGATGTTTCACCTTTTTTCAGGACACACTGAGGCACCAACTCGGTATCGTCTGCAGGGCCTGGAGATTTGGAAGATCCCCTGAGTTCGTTGGGATTTTCCAAGGGGAAACTTCTGAACCAATCATAACCAAAAAGGGGCATCCCGTTAACAAAGCCACAAATCAGCAGATACTCGAGTTTCATGTATAACAGATAGATGGAACATCATAGAACCAGATTGAAAGCCTGGAAAACACTGCAGTTGGGTATTGGGGGTATGATATTTAGCTGATTGACGGTGGATGATTGATGGTTTACCCTCTGGTTTTGACCAAACAAAAATGACCAAACATAAGGAACTTAGCATCAAAAATCATCAAACACGATGAAGCATAAGAAACAAATACCATCAAAATGGAGATTTTACTGGTGATACCCCGCGATTCATCAAGCAGGTGCTCAAGCTGTGGGGGAAGAAGCAACAGCAATGCATTTCGAATGGGTAAAATGATGATAGACATTATCTGAGGGAAGCATGTGGCTGTTTCCTATGGGGAAACACCCCCAGAAACATCCATTTTAGATTGGGATTTTCCATGAAATAAACCATCCAGCTATTGAGGTACCCACATGACTATGGAAACCACCATTGGTTCAAATCATTGGTTCTCAACCTTCTCAACCATCCCCCAAGTTCCAGGAATTGCTTTCTGATCTGGTGCTTTGGAAGGAAAATAAGACATAAGAATCTTGGATTTGCGGCTTCAAGGTCCCAAGAAAGAACAACTACCCTGGTAGATTCCCCCCAGTGGGAAACCACCAGATCACTGGCTGCTGCGCCTATCGGCAGGGGCTTTGAAGATCGAATGATTGCCTGAGATGGCTGGAGTTTTCAATGGTGAGAAACGAGAAGATGATTGCTGAAAAAACATCATCTTACCTCATTATTGTAGAGACTCATTTGTAATAATATGCCTACAAGGTGGTGCCCCCCCAGTTATAAGTTGGTTTATAATCCCATTAACTATAGATATATCACCTATAAACCATAGTTATTGGAGTTATGTTCACCTACTTAGCTATCGTTTGGGGGCCCCACTTTGTACATATCTTATTTGATGAGTCTTTTATCTCATGATCGTCTTACATCATCCTATGTAATTCAAACGACTGTCATGATCACAAGATGAGTGATTTGAGACATTACAGTATATTATAATGGTCATCCAGGTACGCAACATGGATACAGAGATACACATCTTCACCCACTTGTAAGTCGTGCAAAACTGATAAGCATGTCTAGACAAACAAGTTTATCATCCAGATACCTGACAAAAAATCAACAATTGCACCATAAAAATGTAATGCTAAAGCAAGAAACCAGCTCCTAAATCAGCATTTTCATGGGTGGTAACCATCCATATGGGAAAAGGTGAGGCCTCCATGATCGCTTCGGACTGCGGTAGTTTTACCTCGGCGAAACGACCCTGGATTCGAGCTGGGATTGAGGTTTAGTGAACAAGATATGGTAACTTGAGAGGTTTTCAACATTTTTCACCCATCCAATCTTAAAAAACATGTTCTTTTTCGCGCCGATCTTTTTCGACAGAAATCAAACTCACTGGATAGTTCAAAAAATGGTGAACTCGTGAAAGAAATCCCTGAAATGGACAGACATCCAACCGTTTGCGGATCCAAAAAGTCTTCCCATTCTTTGGTGGCTGACAATCCATTTCCAGGAGAAATCCAATCCGGTCATATCAATGTTCTCAGTCATATCCCCCTGTCAATTATTGTAGTCATATCTTGAGGATGATGACCATTTATTGCAAACCAAAGTGTTTGTTGACCTAACTTTAAATCTATATCGCATGGTTGATTCATGCTGAATCAGAAAATGATGTGGTAATCCGAAGCATAGAAACCAAAATCCAAGATAAATCGTCGGATGTCATGGTGGTAAACCATGTATTGCCATCAATAATCCCTGTACCACAACTATTTTTTCGGAAATGCCATGCAGGAAGTGGTATATTTGTTCTTCCACCATATATTTATCGATCCATAAAGAAACATCTCATTGTTAGTTGCATACACCCTTCATATTGCATTCACCATAAAATTACCACACATCATTCCTATCCCGGCTGTCTGAGCTCTCTGCGGCATTCTCCGCAGGCACCTGTTCTTCCTCCTGGGCGAGAGGTTTTGACACCAGTGCCACATGATTACATCAATGAAAAAACATATCATCAGGTCAATAAACGCATGAATACACAAACAAACCATAGCTATATATCTATAATATAGCTATAATATAGCTATAATATAGCTATAATATAGCTATAGATATCTATAAATACATATATTAACTATATGATATGTCATAATCCAATCACAGGCCCAAATGAAGCGTCACCGGTCAATCCAGCCACACCTCCTCGGGAGACATGGCCATGGCTCCAGATTTCTGATACGTTGCAAGTCTTCTAAGAGATCTTAGTTATTTGCAACAGTTTCAATTCTATTTTGCGGTTTTTGAGACTTTTATGAGACTTTTATTCTATGGTTTAAAAAGAAAACAAATTCATAGTCGATGTTATGATGGAAAGCATACGACAGTTCTTCAATTGGCTATGGATCAATACCTATGAAAATACCATTTTTAATGGGTTATTCACATCCATTTATTTACCAGCTATGACTTGGGGTTCACGGCAAGGTCTTGGGACGTCCAGGGTGGATTTGAGCCGAGAGCTCCGACAGCTGAAAAATGATGGAGTTCGTCAGTTGGGATGATTATTAAATAGATAATATATAGTATATATATATGGGGATGATATATAGATGATATAATGGATGATGAACTAGTTGGGGTTACTGATTTGGATATATACCATATGGATCCAAGTGCCTTCTCAGGAAGTATTTGGGGTATAATTTACTATAATTTGGAGGGTTAAGTACCTTCTCAGACAGTGTTTGGATCCATAGCGATATATATATATGGATGATATATAGATGATATAATGGATGATGAAATAGTTGAGGTTACTATTCCCATTATGATGGGACAAATAATCCATTCAGTCCATTCATGTTCCAAACCACCAAGCAGTGGTAATCTTTCTACCTCAGCCCCTCTTTTGGCAACCACCGCGAGACGTGGGTTTCGCGGCGACGATCAGCCGGCTTCGTGCTTCGCTCAGCCCTGGAGAACTTCCAAGACATCTTTCAGGGACTCGATCTCCTGGATGTTTCATCGATCCACACATGGCACATTGAAAACTATTGAAAATTGCCATTTATAGTGGATTTACCCATTGATAGCATGGTGATTTTCCATAGTTATGTTAGTTTACCAGAGGGTACCATGGCCATCAGAAAAAAGACATCTCAAAGTTCCCATGATATCCAAAATTTTATCCCAGATCTCAGCATTTTTGTCAAGTATGTATGCTATGTGACATTGTGGCTTTTCCCATGGTTGGTTGCTTTGATTCTCTGTTGCCCCTATTGGGGCACTCCTGCTTTCGCTTCTCCATCTTTTCTTCTCTGGTCATCACAGGTTTCATGCATTGCCCCTTAAGCTCCTGGCGCGCAGGTCGCAGTTGCAGCATGATCAAATGAAATCAGCCTGACTGGGCATATATTGAGCACTGGCAAGTTGTGTCTCCTCAAAGTACTCTGTGGCGGCTTTCAAAGCCTGCTTTGAGCTGGAACTCAAAATCTCTTCATCTCCGGAGTGGATATTCGACTGTGAACCAGTTCAGGTAGACTCTCCATACAAATCAAGTGCAAACTTTCTTTCATCCACAACCCAACAATGAAATATCATGAAATATCGACATGTACCCTCTGGTAAACTAACATAACTATGGAAAATCACCATTTTTAATGGGAAAACTCACAAGAAATGGCAATTTTCAATAGCTTTTTGTATGTTTACCAGAGGGTACATGAATACAATATCTTCATTGACTTCACATGAAAATATCCAACTTAAAAGACTTAACCTGACCTGACGTAACACACGGGGCAGGCAGGGCCGTCTTCCGGGGCCTTCTGGGCATCTTTCAAGTCGATCTTCTTCGTGGTCAAACCGTTGGTCTTCTCAGTCTTTGATGCCTTCGTCCATCCATGGTATCACTATGTTGGGCTTGGCTCAATGGTTATAATAACTAGAAATTATAGATGGTCATACCCATTAATAAAATTTAATAAGCACATCGTATATTATTCAACCATGAAATTTCAGGTCAATATGTTCAATCCCAAATTGGAGAAATGGAGAGATATGGAGCACTTGGGCGAATCTCGGTATCCGCTTGGTGGGGGGCGGTGTTTGTTGGTGGTTCTGCTTGGTTCCAATCAGCTGGGTGTAGCCACCCAAAACCATGATATGAACATCTTTCCATGATTTTCGATGTATATCCATATCCCTATCTATATCTATATCTAATATCTATATCTATATCTATATCCCCATCTATATCGAATCTATCTGTATCTATCTCTATCTCTATATCCATCTGTATACATTTGACGACTCATTTTGGTGACCTGAATCAGGCTCCTGGCGACGTGACTGTGGTGTGGGACCCTTAAGGGGACCCCCAGTGGCAGTATGTTCAAATGAGGCTTTGAAACCAATGGATGGGGCATATGTAAGGGAATATCCCCTATTAATGGTTAATAATGATCCATAATTGATAATAATGGTTAATAATGATATGGCCCACAAAATATGGCCTTAGATGGTAGGTACCTCCAATCAATCGGATCCTGGAATGGCCATTGAAATGGGGCACTTTCTTTCACCAAAGTATCAGAATCGTTTTTCATATTTTTCCCATCAAAAAAGTGAACAGTTTTTGGTGCTACCGGTGCTACCGCAATGTTGGACATTGGGCCGCATTTTCTTCTCCCCAGTAAACCAACATAGCTATGGAAAATGGTCCATTTCGATGATTTACCTCTTGAGGCTGGGTCAAGTCAAGTTACCAAAAAACCGAATGAGAGAATTTTCTAAACATCCAAAATCACGATTTAAAGTTCCCATCTGCCAGGCTTTTGACCCATAACCATTAGCTGATGATTTCCCATCACAAAAATTGATTTTCGAAGCCCGGGCACAGTCTTCAACTCGACCTCCTTCTCTTTGGACGCCTGGGACAAGTCGTGATTGGGGTCAACCCATTGGAAGTCATGGGTTAAACGTGATATTCATGGCAGAATGAGATGATCACTGTGGGAAATAGCTTGAAGGGAATCAATGGAATCAATGAAGATCCCATTTTTATGGTGGATGAACATCAAGTAAATGATGATTATCATTAGATATCATGAGATATCATGAGATATTGTGATATATTTTGATATAGAGGTTTCCGAAAATGGGGGGTACTTTCTGGTAAACTAATATAACCATGGAAAGATCCACCATTTTTGATGGGAAAACCCCCGATGTGGTTTGATCTCAAAAAGGGGCAGCGGACCACCCAAGGTGCTTCCCCAGTGATCAATGGATGATCCCAGAAGGAACCAGATATATCATCTATAGATGATATATCTATATAAATGGATAATGAATAATATACTTTGGGTATCTATAGAATATTAGAATTTCTGAATGGTTTATTCATCTATAGATATATCATCTATAGATATATAATCTATATACCAGCCTGTGACATTGGACTTATAAACGCACCAACGAATCGCGTTCACGAACTGAGGCACCACCCTGTTGAATTCCATCCTACCCACCGAAATCCAATGGTTTCAGTGGGGGTTTCATGAACTTCGGCACCTTATCCACAGCCGAATCGGACATGAACTTCGTGTATTCACCAAGGCTCTGAGCCTCCGGAAAATGGTTGGAAGGTTTTTGGGGTGGGTGTTTGGGGGAAAATCCTCGAAAAATCAGAAACATCACTAAAATCTAGTAAAATAAGGAGAGGAATCATTTTGTCATTTCTCTTTCTTTTCATGTTTATAGTTTTCTTGTTTGTATTTGGTTGAAAACCGGGTCACCAAGCTCAAGGAAGAAATGTTATTTTCATGATTTTTCATGGTTCATCTTCGATACGAAGGCTAAGCAAGAGGGATCACAATTTTGTTACTGGAGTTGGTAAAAACATGTCAAACAACTTCAACTAAGTTAGGATTATCGGAATATCTTATCTAAACAATCTATTTGGCTAAGACATATTTCCAGGTTTGGATGTCAAAGCCAAAGTATGATTATCAGAAAACGACACTTTGAAAGGCTGCCTATACGTTTGTTGATGGTTATACAGCGTGGTTCAAGTGGGCACGTCTAATCACGTCCCAATATCAACAACCCCCCTGAAAAAACCCTGGTTGGAATACTGGATCTATTCATTTGCAATAGATTTTCTTACAGAAAACGAATTAGATATGGAGGTGTCCTAAGTCATGGAGGTATCCCGAAATCATTAAGTCATGGTCATCATCCATGACTTAGTGAAACAACCATGGTGACGACTAGCGATCCCCCATGACTTACGGCTTTTGGCCCACCTCGGCCGTTTCAGTTTCACTCTCCATACGGACGAAATCTGCTTGTAGCACCTGCCGGGACCCATGAAGTATATTGGAATCTGGGTGAAAGGAATCGGAATATGAATATTATGGTAAATTCATGGTAAATTTACTATCATGAAGTATATGGTGTATATAATCATGATAAAATGTGATACACCAATTTACTATCATGGGAAATCATGGTAAATTGGTTGTTACATGTTGTTACATCACTCCAAAGCAATCATAGCAATTTGTCAATGCGATATGGAGAATTTCATCGACATTTTCTGGGGCATTTTGGGATCCGCGATTGCCGTGCAACAAATGGGCGCCTCCAAAAGGGCAGTGACACCACCACTGTCCATGCCAGTGTAGCTATCCTCAAAGATCTCTGGAGCTCCTTCAACCTCCAGTGCCCCATGAATTTCCAGCTAGAAAGACAGGGCGCGTCCGAACTGAGGAGGCGACGGGTTTTTGCAGAAGAGATGCCTGCAAATCGTGGAAGTCTTAGCAGTTCCACCATCTTTATCAACTGATTGACGGATTGGTAATCATGGCAATCTTAATCTGGTTGGTGGTATATACCTACCCCTCTGAAAAATGATGGAGTTCGTCAGTTGGGATGATGAAATTCCCAACTGAATGGAAAGTCATAAAAAATGTTCCAAACCACCAACCAGTAATTGATTTAGAGTTTTTCGTAATCTTAATTGCTAAAGCATCCCAAGAATCAAAAACTCTGACTCAAATCCTCGACCCTCAGCTAATCTTAGATAATCGAAAATGGTGAATCTTTAGTTGGTGAGACACAAGAAATGATTATCATGAGATATCATGAGATATTCTGATATATATATAGGTTTCCGAAAATGGGGGGCACCCCTAGTAAATCATCGATTTTCATCGGATTGAATCCCAGCTGGCCCAGGCACCTTCGCTTTGGCACCTGAGTAGAAACTATCCAATGCAGCAGTGGCCTCGACACGGAGTTTCTGAGATGTACCGACTATGGTACAAATTTCATGGGGATTTTATAGGATTTCATCACTCATTTCATGGTGATTTCATGGGGATTTGCCCTCTGGTGATGATTTTCCCATTCAAAACCTCCATGTTTATAGTGGACCTCCTATGGCCACGTTTGATTACTGGACTGCGACGAATACCAAACGATTACAGTTTGCTCGATTAGGTGTGGGCTTAGCAGCCTTTCAAACAATGTTCATTCCGATAAGTGCGTGTCTGAAAATAGGGTATCGCCAAATTGAATGCTTTTGACAAGCCTTTCCCTCCCTGTTTGATAGCGTAAGTTGGGCACTCAAGGTTTAGACCCATCATATCCAATTCTTGACAAAACATCCCACTAGAAATTATCACCCCATGATTATCCAAGTACCATTCCGTTGTCATTCCCACTATTTTTCCATTAATATCACCTTAATCGTTAGTTTGCCGACATTTCGTTGGTTGTCCCACTATAAATACTCATCATCCTGTCATTATCCAGCCGTGTTACCATATTCCATTCTAGTTCCCAGCATAAACTCACTAGAACCCCATTTATTCCCATGGAATTTACCCTCTGGTTATTTAACAGTTCGCCATGGTTTTTCGATGGCCCTAATCGAAATAGATGGTTTACCGAACTTAAAAATGGTGGATCTTTCCAGTTCGCAAACTGTTACCATCTGGTTATTTAACATAGCCATGGAAAATCACCATTTTTAATAGGTAAACCATCTATAAATGGGCCATTTTCCATGGCTATGTTAAATAACCAGATGCTACCCCATCATCCCGCCTGGGCAATGGCCTTCTGCGCATCCTGGGCATCTTTGATGGTGGCCTTATTCTCCACCTGGCGGAGTTACCAAGACATATTGGGAGATGTTTTTTTTTTTTTAAAGGATTATACCATGATGAACCAATATTAACCATGAAAAATAGGGATTTAACCATCAAACATGATTCAAGATGCATAAATCATCATTCTATACCAGTAAGATTGCATATAACTCATCAGTTGATGATATTTTATCACTATCGGTCTTTATCACTATCGGTCTTTAATTTATCATCATTATTCCATATAATGTGGGTAAAACTATGTCATAAACAATCCCCCAGTCATCGTCATTTTTTAAAGGTGGTATATATAAACCATTCCCATGGGTGGTTTATTAAACCAATGTTTTACTCACATTATACCATGATTCACCATGAAAAATAGGGATTTCACCATGAACACCTTGGCTTTGAACACTGAAAAATGACGATTCAGATTGCCATCCTGGTCTTCAATGGCAATGGAAACGCGACAAGTCGCGCTCGCTACCCGAGATATGGTGAAAACCATCAGGTTTTGCCCATTTTTTTCAGGAGTCCTATGATTCCAAATAGCACCATACGCATCCACCATTGATCCCACCATGGCCTCCCATCGCCCTCCTTTTTTTTTGGGGAAAAACCACCATTTGTTGAACAAAATCCTACCCTCCAGTAAATTAACATGACGACCCTGCCAGTCATCGGGGGTGGAAGATGAGTTTCCATTAAAAATGGGTGATTTTCAGGGTCAACAAGTTTATTTGCTAGGTAAATTATCCCAGGTTTCCACATCGGTACTGTAAAAAAACCTATAAAAACCATCCCATGAATCCCTCGGTAGTGGAGACCTTCTCATTCTCGCGGAGTTTCGTCGCAGATTCACGATCTTTCGCCAGGCTGGCAATGTCCTGCGGCTGGTGGGCGATGGAACCTTGAAAATTGCTGGCGAATGGATGGCAATCATAGGTACCCTCTGGTTATGTCAAAATAGCTATTGAAAATGGCCATTTATAGTGGATTTTCCCATTAAAAATGGTGATTTTCCATAGCTATGTTAAATTACCAGAGGGTAACTTGACCCATCAACCAAGAGAAACAAAACACCAGAAAATCCACAGTGGTAAATCACCAGATGCCCCCCAAATCTCATCGTTTTGCCTGCCAAAAGTGATAACTTTGTTGGTGAAGTCACTAATGCTGTCAATGAAATCTCCATTCTTCATAGTTTCATCCTACATTTCGGTCACTTTAAATCATAGTACATCCTTAATTTCTTTGGTAAAACAACCACATTTTTCATGTTTATGTTGAAAAATCCTACTTGTTGATGCTAAAATCAACAAATTTTGATCGTGAAATCCACATTTTCATGCTTAAATCCACATTTTTCATGGTTACGCTCCGGTCCCATCAGCATTTTTGTCACCCCGGTCCTTCTGTAAGCTTTCCAAGTCATCACCCAGCTCGGTGATGTCGATTTTCAACTGGTTCACCCTGGGCATTGCCGATACGTTTGAACCACGGCCATCCATGGGGGGTTTCTTAACACGGGGGATCCCCAAAACCATAGGTTTCAATACTGTAATGGTCTGACTTGGATGATTTGGAAGGTACCAGCCATTTTAGGAAACCTCCATATACATATACATGTATTTACATATATATATATATGTATGATTTTGTATGTATATGCATATGGATATCAATTTATCAATATCGTTTTTTTTGCTTTTGCTTTTTCATGTTCGCTTGACATTAAGATACGCTACATATGCGTATGTATATATATATATTTATGGTCATATATGTCTATATGTATGTATATGTATATATGGCAATGATCTTGTACATAGCAATTTAATGTAGATAAACATTTATGCAAATCTCTTCATATGCATAACAGTTATCCCTGATGATCATCCCATATAGAGAGAGGAAATTGTATCGCACCCGACCCATAAAACATGGTTGTTCATCCATGAATCCCTAAGGAAAAGCCCCACAGCAGACAGCAATTTTCCGAATCGGCGATGCATGATGATCTAAAGAAATAACCATTGGATTTATGGGAATGTTGGATGGGTTTATGGGAATTGAATCTAGAAATCTGGATTTGGGAGAGGATCAAGCCATAGTAATCCACTGTTCACACAGGCTTTCAGTGGTGCTTCTTGGTTCACATCCTAAAAACCAGAGGCTATACCATCATATATCCCATCGAATCCCATTGAATCACCATCATATATCCCATTAAAACACCATGTTTTGTGTGTAAAAAACCAGAGGTTTTTACCATTCAAAACCGTGGGATTCACCATTTTCTGATGCAGCCGGCGATGATCCTCTGCCAAGAATTTTGAACGAAGCGGCGCAGAAAAATGCGATGATCAGAGGGTACATTGATCACCCAAAAATCAGAGATTTTTCCTGCAGTTGGGTATACTATTGATCTATTGATCTGACTGAGTTCGAATAATTCATCAACGCTCGCTGAAAATTTTGGGATGCACTCAATCCAAATTCCATCATTGTAACGTTCCGGTGAGGTTGTTATATTTAATTCAGATAACCCCATATCGTCCCCATTCATCCTCATTCAGCATGTTTGTTGCTTACACCAACATTTTTGCTGGAACAAAGTATTAGTGTTGATGAAACCACAACAATTGTTGGTCCAATCACCATTTTTCATGGCTAGTTGGCACCACTTTTCTTGGTGAAATCACAGCTGCTTGGTGCAATGTGCCCATCTTGAAAGATGATGGAGTTCGTCAATGGGTTTCGGATGACATCCCATATATGACATGGAAAATAAACAATCAGGTTTGAAATCACCAGCCAGCTATAGAAAATTCACCCACATCCTACCTCCCATATAATATAATATGGAAACTCATCCAGTCATGTTTGAAACCACCAAAACCATCAACCAGACAGATTGTGATGGTGAAATCGGTGAAATCCCGCCATGTCTTCAGGTCCAATTCATGGCCAATCAGCCAGATGCCCTGCAAAAAATGGACCAAATTCTTTGCTGGTGAACGTAGTAGTAGATATTCCCAGCCAGATACCAAAAGACTAGTTAGATTAACGGTTAGTAGGTCAAGCTACTAATACCGAAAGACTAGTTAGGATCAGTTTGTACCCATCCAGCAGATTGACCTAGCAACCAGTATTAATCATTAACCATGATTAACCCATTCAAAATGGTGATATTACCATTCAACCAACCATTTTACAAACAGTTTCCAGTTTATTTTTTTAATCATCCATTAACCCTGATATACCAGCAACATATATACCATATATAGCCTATATAGCTATGATTGACCTAGAGATTCAGGTGTATATACCATCCATTAACCATCCATTAACCATCCATTGACCTACAAGGTGGGCCCCCCCAGTTATAAGATGGTTTATAAACCCCATGAATACTATAGTTATAGGTACCATAAACCATAGTGACATTGGAGTTATTTGCACCAACTTAGCTAAGAATAGGGGGGCCCCACATTGTAGAAATCACCAGATTGAGGACGGGACTCGCCCTGCACCGTGTCCACCAGGTCCTTCTTACTGCTCCGAGTCTGACCCTGTGCGAGCTGGCGAGCTGTTAACACCAGAGGCTAACGGATATAAGATAACATTGCCAGTTAATGACATTACATAGTTATGATATATATATATTATATATATACACACATATTATATATATATATATATATATATATTATAGAAATATATGTATATATAGAAATATATGTATATATATATATTTCTATATAATATATATATATACATATTTTTTAGAGCTTTTGACCTGCAGCACCTGCAGCTTGATTCCCCAGAATTGATGCAGAACAGAGTTGGTTTTCATCCAAGCGAAGAACCATCTACCGAGTCAGAAATGGGGAATGGGCCCCTAACATTTTTGTCCGAAACACAGGCTTTTCTACATCTAAAGCATTGGGTTTAGTAGGGCTGCCCTATTTTTGGACATCCTTTGAGATCCCACAGATTGCAGCAAGAAATGCCTACAGCAGCCAGTATAAACATTGGAAAAACCACACACTGGGTATAAGCCAAGCCACGTTTGTGGCAAGCTCCTTCTTGCACCAACCGTCCTGCTGATTTGGTCAGCATCAGCTGTTTTTCATCCACATTGGTTGCTACCCCACCCTAGAATGTTGAGGGATGTTTTTATTGGACAACCACGTATTTGGGGAAAAAGAACCTGCTCTGTAGTTCCTGCAGTTCTTTACTCCAACTGAAACAATCACTTAGATGATTCTTCCATAGTTTCCCATGAAAATCACTATATTTTCTTGGTTTAGTTATCATTTTCCTATGGATTTTAAAGGTTTTTAAAGGTTTTTACACCAGCCATTGTTGTGGAGACCAATGGCAGCTCCCAGGTCCTTCTCCGCATCCGCAGCTGCCTCTTGCTGCAAACGTGTCACCAAGTCCTCAGATCTCCCATATCTTGGGCGAAGGACCATGTGGAAACTAGGTAAAGAAAACACCGAATTTTCAGCTGCAGAAATATAAGGCTTATATCATGTGAAATATACTGTTTTCCATAGATGAAATATACCATTTCTTTTGGATGGCGGAAAAAATCCTCACAAAGCCGACAGCCCGCCACGTGATGAGGCCAAGGGCCGAAATCATTTTGCGAATCTTGGACAAACTGTCGCCTTCCTTAGCACGGAGCATGAATACCATCAGCACCCCAAAGGTATCAGGGTGTTGAGATGTTGAATTCACGGTGGTCAGGATATTGTAGATATTCAACTCTGTTTTTTGTGTTGAACATGCGAAGTTTGAGAACCGCGATTTTCATCTTCGCTGCTCGTGGGCCAATCATGATCAATCTTAGATTCCAATCAAACATGGTTAGTAATGGTTAATAATGATTAATAATCATTGCTACCCTCTGGTAAACTAACATAGCTATGGAAAATCACCATCTTTCATGGGAAAACTCACTATAAATGGTGATTTTCCATAGCTTTTTGTATGTTTACCAGGCCGGCTAATTCATGTGCGAATGGTAAACCTAATACTAAACCATCCCTAAGGTGCAGGTTTATGATTGGGCCTCCTATGGCTGAGATGACGGTGCCACGGAACCTCTTATGGCAGGTTTACTCATCTCATCCCCCCATAATTTTAAACACCCGCCACCCCAAAAAGACCATCATGGTTTAGTAGGGAATTTCCACATCAAACTGGCACCATACACCTGGGGTGTTTCACATTGATGGGATTCTTACCAGCAATGATTAGGACAACCATTATTAACCATTACCAACCATCATTAAACCACTAGTATGCAGTATTAACTATTATTAACCAACCATTCATCACCATCAATAACCATTCTGACAACTATCATAACTATTAACATCTATTAACCATTAATAACCATTATTAACCATTAACCGACTCATCAAACCAGCGTCATTCACCATCCATTTTTCAACCCAAAAAACATCTGAGCCTGGCACGGCACGCAAGACCAGGGCCGAAAGCATGTTGCTGTCCAGCTCCTGGTGTCGGTGAATAATGCTGGTGAATGATGAGTCGGTTAATGGTTAATACTGGTGAATGGTTAATGGTTATTAATGGTTATTAATGGTTAAATTAATGGTTATATTAATGGTTTATAGTCATGATAGTTTTCATAATAGTTATTGATGGTTTGATGATTGTCTGAATTCTACATTTTCATTGATGTAATTCTAAAAGATCAGATAAAACCCATCGATTTTCACCATTTTGAAGTGCCATTCTTTTTGGAGATACCATGAAACATGGGGGGTTTTCGAAACACGGCACATCCGACCTCGGCCTTTTCTCTCAGCAGGGAAATGGCCTGCTCTCTTTTGGCACCTCAGGTGGGTTGATGGGAAAATCTATGGGAAAATGGTGTTTTTTCCAGGTAATGAAAGTCTGCTTGCTTCCACAGTAGATCGGAGACCTAACCATATTATTGGAATGCCGGCTGTATTTTTTTGTACTGAAAAGCATGATCACATCCCATGTTCAGAGATGCAAAACAAGAAGATTTGGAACTGCCGAGGAAGTCCGAAGCTTAAGGTGACAGACCTATGATGCTAACTGACACAAGAAAAATCACGGAGATTATTCAACCATAATCTGCGCGTAAACAAAGACACATCGAAATAAAAACAATTGAGGTGAGGAATTTCTTCAAGAAATCACATCAGACATTATGTCAAAAGTTGCGAAATTTGTTCAGCAATTTTGTTTTACCAGGTCACCTATGTTGAATCGAATGAGACGGACAGCGCTTTAGTACATAGCTAACCGAGTTTATCCTTGGAAGTGTGACTTGTCATTCTTTACAGACATGACATCTAATTTCCCCTTCACCAAGATTCATGCGATAAACTCAATGCAATCAACATGAACCAACCATATTCCCCAGTTTTACCATGTGGTGGGAATAAAGAACCCTTCCCAAAAAACACATCGCTAGGTTTTCACGATTGATGACATCCCCATCTATCCATTGGTCGTCACAAAGGTGATACATGGGGATACCCACTAAAATAGCCATTCCTAAGGCAGGGAAAGATGATGAAAATCCATTGTGAATTGAGGCTACCCTGTGGTCAAAATGATACAAGGCGATGCCCTTAGTTATAAGTTGGTTTATTATTAACATTAACACCCATTAACTAACTAGTTCCAGCTCTACCATAAACCATGGAATTCACCCACCGCAGCAACTTAACTATCATAAATCAGCGAGGAATCCCATGAGAACTCCCAATGTTTCTTGCTCGATTTTTCTATATCTATCATAAACCATAGTTGACCTAGTAACCATTTTTCTATATCTATATCTATCACAAACCATTTTTCTACATCTATCATACCCTCTGGTAAACGTTTACAAAAAACAATGGAAAGATCCACCATTTTTTATTAATGGCTAAATCAACTATTTCTATGACCATTTTGTATGTTTGGAGGGTAAATCGTATACCACCTGATGGGACCAAATTGCTGAGCTATGAACCACCACTGTCAGAGCGCAAGGCCGCCAGCGATGTGCCCTGACAGAGGTGAAAATGGGATCCAAAACACATCAACATTGACGGGTATGGATCAAATGGATCAACATGACATGAAAAACCAGAGATTTCAATCTATTTTTTTAGTATTAGACTTTTTAGGATTAACATGTATTAACCATCCAATAGTTGGGGTACCCAATTTTGACCCATACCCAGGGCATCATCGGTGACAATGATCCCATGGGACAGGCCAAACAGCTGGGGGTCACAGTTTTTTGACCAGTTGAGTCAGTTGAGTTCGGCATGGATCATGTTGATCACTTTTCTGGGATATCCCTGAAAAAAGTGCATGACCTGTAAAAAAAATAGATTTTTTACCATCCTTTTATTTAACATAGCCATGGTATAGATGGCCCATAGAAATTGATGGTTTACCCATTAATAGCATGGTGGATCTGTCCATGGCGAACTGTTAGTCATAACCAGATGGTAGTTCGATGATTTTCCCAGTAAAACCTCCATTTTGAGGGAAATTCCTATGGGTAAACCATCTATTTCTATGGAAATAACCATAGCCATGATGGTAACTCAAAATAGCCATCCTAATCTCAAATACTGGTGAACTCGTACATCAAGCTGTCGGCCAGCTTGAAATTACCATTGGGTTCACCGTTTCTGCTTGATTGACCTGGGGAAAACCTTCAAAACATGAAACGAATTGGCAGATTCAGGGGTTGAATGTGTTCAAATTCACCTGAACTGCCACAATTTTCACATTATGAAAATTGATGTGGATGGAGGTAGACACCAATGCATCAAGTATCCCAAGGATGGGATTTCCCTTCCCACTGCCCAACTTCAAAATTCATTGGACAACTGATGAACATTGACCAACTATTCATCTTCAATCTGAAGGAAACTGAGTCCTCAACATTTTTCACCTCCATCGTCACAATTTCCGCATCCAACATCGATATCAGTTCCAGACAAAGGAGGGGGTGCTTCCAACATCTCTGACACATGTCTTTGCAGCACACCTAATGGGTTTGTTTTATTCCGCATCAAATATTCCGTTGATTAGCCACATATCCCATGAAATATCCCAAGTACCCCCTGGTAAACTAACATAACTATGGAAAGATCCACCATTTTTAATAGGTAAACCATCCATAAATGGACCATTTTCCATGACTATGTTAAATTACCAGAGGGTATTCCCGGTTTTGTCAAAGGATAGACCACTGCACGATTCGTTTGGTCGTTTCGTCACCTTGGACGAACTTTTCTTGTCCGCGACCTTCAACACCGTTCCCTGAGCGCTGGGTCTGGGGGATGTATCTGGAGCATGGCTCATCCAAGGAAATTGTCGGGTGATTTGACATGCGAAAATCACCAACGACCAAGGTACAGAAATTCGGAGTTGACCAGAAATTCTGTGGTGAATTCACCGATTTCTGTGATGACCATGCAACTGAAGTGATGATTTAGTCTCATATGCCTTTGGTTTTCTTTTTGTCTTACTCAACATGCAAATTGTCCCCAGCATCCAACAAAGACCATCACTATACCAAAACCGGGCACCGGACCAAGATTGAGTAGCATAAACCAACGGTAGTCTTAGGATGGTTTTGGTGAGACATTGAATTGAGCATGATGTGTCGTTGACAAGTTACATAAAACGGTAAACGGTGTGTTTTGGTCTCGCATCCTGAATCACCTGTAAACTCTGCAAACCTCACTCGGACAGAAAACAATGTAGCGAAAATAAGAGCACCAAACCAGCTGTTCTTAGTTCATTACATATCATGTTATATGTGTATACATATAGATATATGTATATGTATGCATATATATATATATGTACATATACATATGTATATATATATGTATATGTATATATATATATGTATGTATATATATATATGTATATATATATATGTATATGTATATGTATATATGATTTGGCATGAGTAGACAGTGTTTCTTCGTGGGAACATTAACAGCCGCGACCTGGATGGCTTCGGAGGCTTTGTCGATGGCTGCAAGCTCCTTCCAGTGAGGATTTTTAGCCAACGAAGATGAGAATTCACCCGGCAAAATAGGGATTTATATAGGAATTATTCACATTACACCACTTAATATAGGAATTGGATTATTAAATATGTTCATATAGGAATTACACCACTTAATTACACCAATTATTCACCCTTTTAAACATATTTAACCATGAAAAGTGGTGTAAGGATGAACATATGAGCCTTCACCGATGTAGTCTGTCTAAATCCTGGGGACTCGAAGCCACTCGAAGCAAAAAGCCATCTGCAGTCGGAACCATTGCTGATCATATCCATGATGGCATCTTTATATAAGGTTGATAATGCTGGTAAACCATGGATCATTTAGTGAATGATAATGCTGGATCATATATTATTCACTAAATATCAATATATATCATCCATATCATCCATCTCAAAGATGGTTGAAACATGGGTAAACCATGCTTGAAACATTGAAACATGATTCAAGATGCTATAGCATCTTTCTGCAGCAGTAACATTGCATATAACTAATCAGTTATATTGATATAATCACTATCAGTCTATGAGTTATCATCATTAATGTAGGCAAAACAATAATAAACCATCCCCCAGTCATCGCCGTTTTTATAGGTGGTATGTTTACAGTTCCCAGTCATCGGTGGTAAAAATGACATTGTTTTACCTACATTAATCTATTAAATTAAACACCCAAAGATTGGTTCCTAATCACTATTCATGGATTATCATCACTATTCACATCTATTAACCACTATTAACCATTACTATCCCATGGTTTTCCCATTGTTATCCACTATCATTATCCAATGATGGTTATCACCATTTAACCACCATCAACCGCCATTATAATCACTATTAATCACTATAAAGCACTATTCATGGCTTATAATCACCATTAACCAATATTCAACCACCATTTAACCACCATTGACTACCATTAAATGACCATAATCACTATAATTAACCATTTAATTAATGGTCATGAATTGGTACAAAGTGGGGCCCCCTAGATAGCTAAGTTGGTTTATAACTCCAATGTCACTATGGTTTATGGTACTTATAACGAACTAGTTATTGGGGCTTTTGTTAACCAACTTATAACTAGGGGGCCCCACATTGTAGTTATTAATTAATCACCATTAACCACCATTTAACCACCATTTAACCATCATTTAACCACCATTAATCACCAGTAATGGTTTACCCTGCCCCTCACCAGCTGCAAAAACTTCGACCATCCGCTCGGCTCAGCTCTCCTCGCCCCGCAGCCGTTGACGTTCCTTGAAATCGCTGGCCTCGGCGGGGAAAGACATGGGAAACCGTGGGAGAACCATGGGAAAACCCATGGGGTAGTGATGGTTCATAGTGATTCATAGTGGTTAATGGTGGTTAAATGGTGGTTAAATATTGGTTACGGGTGGTTAATGGTGATTATAAGCCATGAATAGTGTAATCTATAGTGTTTTATAGTGGTTAATAGTGATTATAATGGTGGTTGCTGGTGTTGAAGTTGTGTTCTTTGTTCCCAATTTGGCGACTTGGAATCAGCTCGAACAGCCTGTTGAATGCGATGCACCCAATAGTATGCCATCCCCAATATCACGATAGATGCTTAAACTAACCAACTTATCTCCAATTAGTGGCGTATTATTATTATTTTTTTTTAATCATTATTATTACCAGTTGGTTATTTAACATAGCCATGGAAAATGGCCCATTTATAGATGGTTTACCTATTAAACATGGTGATTTTCCATGGCTATGTTAGTCATAACCAGATGGTATTTGGGCTAACACATCTTACACACATGGGGGTTTCTCAACATGGGGGTCCCCACCCTCATCCAGCATGGCCTCCCGTTTGAGTATTGAAACCCATGGTTTAGGGAAACCCCATTGTAAGAGAAACCTCCATGTTGTGGTATGTAGTACCATCTGGGAAACTCACATTACTATGTAAACTACTCATTTAAAATAGGTAAATCAACTATTTCTATGGCAATGTTCAATAGCTATGTTAAATTGCCAGAGGGTAATTCATATCCCATTAGAAATGGCCATAGAAATAGTTGATTTACCTATTCAAAAATGGTGTTTTTCCATCGTTTTTTCTATGTTTACCAGGCCGGGTAAGACAACTGTGGTTGGCAACCCCGCCTTCTGATCACAGGTCTGCTTCAGATCTGCCAGGTACTTCTTGTCATCCTGCGGATTTCTTTTGTCTCATCTGGGAGAAACGTGAAACACAAATGGCCAGAAAATATCAACATTTTTCTGATATGATCATTTATCATCATGTATACTTAATCTACATTCTATGCCTATGTCATACCCATGATTTGCCCATATGCACATAACCATATTAGTCCATGTCATAACCACATGGTCAATCTTTGCGACGCTTATGGTTATTCTTCCAAGGATGAAATTACCCATCCATCATCGGATTGGTTTGAGGGAAAATGTTACATCAATAATTTCTAAAGGATTTCTAAGATCTGGCTTACCTGTACCATATTTTTCCATAGCTTCTTTATAAGATAATTGAAACCGGACACCCCCTCCGTATTATTCCATATTTCAGGGTAAAAACAATGGTGTCCGGTGAAGATTTTCCCCACAAAACCAATCCACAATCAGACGTGTCAGTGGAACATCCACTAGAAATGGTGTCTTCATGAGAAAATCACCTACAAATAGTACATTTAATAATGGTACATTGAATATAATTTGTATTTCCCATATAAAATATACCCTCTGGTTATTTAACATAGCCATGGAAAATTGCCCATAGAAATAGACGATTTTCCCAGCTAGAATCCTCCATTTATTTTTGGGATTTTCCATGGCTATGTTAGTTATAACCAGATGGTACCGCAATAAACTCGTCATGTTTGAATTATAATTTTTTAATGTTTACCACTATAATATACCATATAAAATATACCATTTACCCTCCAGTAAATCAACATAGACCTGGCAGTCATCGGGGTTGGAGGATTAGTGAAACCACTAAAAATTGGGGATTTTCAGGGTCAAACTGTTAATTTACCAGGGGGTAATCCCATTATCCATATCATATTTTCCCATTATAATCCCATATCACTAACTAATATATATCCATAACCATAGATTAACCATAGTAACTTACCATTCCAGGGGGTAATAGGTACTATAAACCATGGATGGGTCGATTTTCCAAGGTTCCGGATGCCTCGTTCAACTTGGAGACTTCCACTAAGGCAGCGGACTTCTCAGCCTTGCGGAGCTTGTTGAAGGGGGCAATAGAACTATGATGTATGGGAGATATCAGTGATATATATATATATATGTATATATATATGTATATATATATATATGCAGAATATGTATAGGATTATATATGTATAGTGATATATCTAGAGTATCTATAGTTCATGAGGTCATTTTGGACTCTGGTTGATTTTAAAATGGATAGAAGTGATATTTCATGCGTATTCACAAAGTCACCAACAAAGATCACTTCGTTGGTGACATGATCAGGTGGGTGAGGTCGTGGTTGGCCATGGAGAAGCTGTTACTCCCATCCCTTGGACTTTTACATACTTGATACTTCTTGTAACACTTCTGAATATAGACAATAACCATGATTTTTGATCATGTTCATGGACATTGCTGGAAAATCTCATCATATGTGTAAATGTATATGTATATATATATATTTACATATATATCTATCTATCTATCTAGATAGATAGATAGGTAGATAGATAGATAGATAGATAGATAGGATCAGATTAGATTAGATTAGATTAGATTATATTATTTTAGATCAGATCAGATCAGATAGATAGATAGATAGAATGAATGAAAGAATGATAGAATGATACGCGTATATATATATATATATCTACATAGATAGATAGATAGGATCAGATCAGATCAGATCAGATTAGATTAGATTAGATCAGATAGATAGATAGATAGATAGATAGATTGAATGAATGAATGAATGAAAGAATGATATATATATATACATATCTATCCAACAATACACCCTCTGCTACCTTCACCGCGCCTTCACTTGATCCTTCCGCAGCTTGGCCGCCAACTTGTCCTCCTTGGTCTTCTTTCCAGTGGCCAGCTGTGCCTTCCAGTCCTGCAATGGGAAGCGACCAGGTTGGATGGGAAAAGGGATCATTTTATGATACCCTCTGGTAAACTAACATAGCTATTGAAAATGGCCATTTATAGTGGATTTATCCATCAACAATGGTGATTTTCCATAGCTATGTTAAATTACCAGAGGGTAGGAACATAGGGAAAACACCTGAGAAATGAATGGACGTGCAGGTTTTGATAGGGATTGATCATCGAAATTCCAATTTTCGCCCTTGGCTTGAGATTGCAGATCTGCAAATATCTCAGGAAAAACAACACGCCACTATAAACTATTGCAATCTTCAACCTGCTGGGAGCCTCCCCTTGGCACTTTTAGAGGGAAAAAACCGTCAAAGTACCCTCTGGTAAACATAGAAAAAACTATTGAAAATGGCCCAGTCGAAATAGTGGATGTGTTCCCATTTTCATAGCATGGTGGATCTTTCCAGTTCGTTTTTTCTGAGAGTTCACCAGGCCGGGTACCCAGGAAACGAAGCAGGTCCCTCATCAGCATCTCGTAGGCATGTTTCTTCTCTGTCTCACTCTTTTCCAAAGCAACACCTTGGCCGGAGAAACTGGGATGTACCCGGCCTGGTCAACGTTTACAAAAAACAATGGAAAGATCCACCATGCTATGAAAATGGGTAAATCAACTATTTCGACTGGGCCATGGCTATGGCAATTTTCAATAGTTTTTTCTATGTTTACCAGAGGCTACTTCCATCATATATCCCATGAAAAATCTCATCATATATCCATTAAAACACCGTGAATTAAATGGTAAATAGCCATGTTAGTCATTACCAAATCAACTGTTTTTAATGGGAAAACTCACTATTTCAATACCATTTTTCTATGTCAAAACCAGGCCGGCTACCTACCTCGATCTGCCCCTGGCCGCACGAGATCGCTCGGTTCCCAGGCGTTCGGTCTGAAATTTCTCCTCCAACTGATCCAACCTGAGACGTCGACACGACACCGTTGGGGATGAAAATGGCCATAGAAATAGCCTCTGGAAATCCATGTCCCAAGAAATGTGTGGTCAACTTAAGGTATCAATGTTAGTAAGTGTTAGTAAAACAATCAAAAACCACGCATATTTTGATGGTCTAGACATTTCTAGACCACCCATTTATGGTAAACTTGGGGATGGTTGACCATTGCTGTTCCCCGCATTAATTCAACCATGTCCCGTTTACGAAGCATTTCTGGGTCATGGAAAAAACCCATCCCAAAAAATGGGAATCATCCCATTGGGGAAAATCCACCTCTATTGGGAATGGTTTATGATTAGGAAATCACATGTGGTTGGGAAACTCTTGGTAGCTCCAAATCGCTCCCCGTGAAAAATAGGGAATATGAATAGCCATAGCTCCAAATCGCTCCCTCCTAACCAATGGATAGTTGGGAAATCGCATTACACTTGTTCTGAAAATATGCCGTTGGTTCACCAATGACAAGTCACGGCATATTCAAAAAGAACTCTCTGAATGTGAGAAGACTGGCCTCCATTTCTACACTGGCTTGCAACAGAACAGAACATGTGGTCTTACTTCACCATGGTAACACCCAAAAATGCCATCAGGACAGTCGGGGTTTCAAACGATTTGACTTGGCAGTAGCCCAAGCAGGATCAACGGCGCAAAAAACAGCTCGATCACCTTTGTGGACTGGAAGCTGTAGGCACCCTGCGAAGCATCGAAGAGGGATATGTCAATCCTTCAGTTGATAAATGTGCCAATCTCAAAAAAAACAAACAAACAACTGATAATGGCCATTGATTTTTTGAGTAAATGGCCATTGGTAAATGGCCAATCTTCAGTTGATAAATGGCCATTGAGTAAATGTGCCAATCTAAAAGAAAACCGAACAAATAGGATTTTCTTTCCAAAGATTTTCGACGTGGTCTTCGAAATATTCCAGATGAGACATTTACTACGCCCTGTCCAATTCTTGAGTTTCACCAATCCAAGTTTTGTCCGAAACTGCAAACATGGGGTATGTCGGCTACCCCACCAAGAAACCCTGCAGCACGATCAGCTGCACCTTTTGCCAGATGGCTGTCGGTATGACAACCTGGGTTAGATTTGCACCCCCTGTGTCCGCAGTGCCTGTTTTGCACGTAGGACATTCAAAGGGTAGCGGAGCCGGTCGATCAGGTCAGCTTCTTATGACCTTCACGATTCGAAGCTCCAAAACACATCCGGTGCAGATGTTCCCAGATCTTCACCTTGGGCTGCACCTTCGTCACCAAGTCGGTGTCGTTCAAGGCTCCGGCCACTTTCTCAACGGCCAACTCCTTTGCGAAGACCTTGTCCTGAACCCATAGCACGCGGGCTTGGACATGCCTTGTTTTGCCAACTCCTCGACGTTCGGCTAGCGCTTGGCCGACGAACTGTCAGCACGAAGCACTGTCATCAAAAGCTCGTGCTCCCAGAACTTCACGACGTTCTCGATGTAGACCGCCAAAGTTCCAGCTCTGCACATTGCATAAAACTCTGACTCCATTGAACTCAAAGCCACCACTTTCTGGCAAGCGGCTTTCACCTGGACCACGTGTCCCCCAAGCTTCACCACTGCTCCTGACGTAGATCTTCTGCTCCTCAAGTCTCCTGCCCAATCGCTGTCCGTGTAGGCAACGACCCTCAGCTCGTCCTCATACTGTACCTTGTAGATTCGCTTCAGGTAGGGAACCTTCAGCAAGTAGCGGGCGCACTTCTTCAGCCTCATCCAGTCAGACAGCTTTGGCGTTTTCATTGCCGACGCCAATCCTCTCACAGCGTGGCAAAGATCAGGTCGATCCGTAGTCAAGTAGGCCAACCTCATAGTCATTGACCTGAACTGGCTTGCCTGCTCTGCATCCAGCTCAGCTTGTCGATCGGCCTCGATCACATCCTTCTCCGTCAGCTTGTCCTCCGGAATGTCTACTCCTTTGGTGCCCTCCTTGAATCCAAAGGCCTTCACGAGGATGTCGGTGTGTCTCGCGTCAGCCTCAATCTCCAATCTGCAACCTTCATTGTCCGCTCCATCCGGCACATAGCGCACCAGTCTGTTCAAAAAGAACATTTCTCGGTCATCTCTCTCCAAGTGTTGCCTCCCAGCGCGCAGTGTAGCGACTGTTCAACATCTCATCCATCCACTTCAAACCTGCTTCATCTCCAACCACCAAGAAGTCGTCGCCATGAACGAGTCCAAGTAGTCCACGATCCTTGAACTTGAAGAGTGATGTGCAAAGTGCACTGACCTCTCCTCCATGCTTTGACAAATGGTTCTGCCAATCCTCTTGAAAAATTTTCGAAGCATCCATCGTCCCATACATGCTCCTCTCCAACTTGCCAACCATGGGGACGATGTCATCGTTGTGAACCTTGTCCTCCTCTGGCAACTCCATCCAAATGTCTCTTGCAGCTTTTCCCATGAAGTGGGCTCTCGAGATGTCCCAACTGGCAATCTTTTTCTTGTTCTCTTCACCTCGCTTCCTCGTCATAAACAGCGACAGCAAGGCAAACACCGTCTCCGTAGGCGGCGTAGAGCTGAAAGTCTCATTGGGTAGAAGTTGTTGATCTGGAGCTTTTGCTTTTCGGATTTCTTTTGCAACCAGCCTCGATCGGACTTTCGGGGCGTCGTTGTCGCCCTTGTTGATGTCAATCCACTTGATTTTGAGAAGTGGACCTTGTGCCTCTGATGCTGGCACCCGGGTATAGACCTTCTCACCCTTCAGCCATTGCAACTCCTCCGCTCTGGCTCTCTTCACAAGCTCTGCATCCAACGCTGCTCCAGATGAGTCGTCCAGGAACTCCTGCTGGGACTTCTCAACCTCAGCCTCCCATTCGTTGTAGTCATCTGGGCTTGGACCAGTGAGCTTCTCCTCAATCGAATTGATCATTTTCTTTGCCCTCATCTCTCTTTTCAATCCTCTTAGGATCGCTTCCACCAAGGCAGGTGGATAGACTTGTGCTGCTCTCGCCCTCTGCTCTCCAATCAGCTGGACATGTCGGTGAATCTCTTTTCCCGCCAGCTGGTTTTCACAAACTCCTTGAAGTTCCGCAGCAATCTCCTTGCTGTTTGTCAACCACCATGTCTCCTTTCGAACATGTAGCAGTTCTCCATGAGGGTCTTTCAGCTTCATGCCAAACCGGCACATCGGGCTCTGCACCAGGTAGGTGTCCTCTCTGTTGCTCATCTCTTCGACCTCAGGCATCTTCCAACTGTCGGAGTCTTTTGGGTGCTCATGCAAAAACAAACCACCAAGATTGGCTTGCAACTTGCAACAGGCGATTGATCGCCTCACCCTTTCTCTTCCAACCTTCTCCTCTTCTGCAACCACCTGGGGATCTCTCTTGGCATTGGACAAGTTGCGAAGCTTGCTAAACGTAGTGCACGGAGGGGAACTCGTCACCAGCAGCGGCATCTCCTTGACGATGAGTTGAAGACACTCCTTGTAGTCCTCCTTCAGGTCAAGATTCCAACCTTCTTCAAGATCCACTGCAACTCCATGCCTCATCCCAAAGCGTCCAAGCGCCTTTGTCAAACGCTGAGGCGAAAACACCTCCAGCACATCCAAAGCTCCAAGGTCTGCGACAATCTCCGCGGCCTCGATGCTGCCCATTGCGTCCCCAAGTGCCTCAACTGCCTCAGACCTCTGGGTCCCTTCTAACTCGGCCTGGGTCTCCTGAGCCAAGTCCTCGATGTCCTGTGCTCCTTGTTCTCCACCTTTCCTCTTTGGGCTCGTTGGTGGATCCTCAGGCATTTCTGCAACTGGCTGACTCCCGGAGCTCCCCGCAGGCTCTCCTCCAGCCGCGGTCGCCCGCACCGGCTCTCCTCCAGCCGGGGGCGGTGTCTCCGAAAGCCGTTGTTGCAATGCCACTTCAATCCTCTCATCCTCTTCCTTCTGTTTCTTTGTCACTGCCTCCTTCTTTTCCTCTTGCTCCTCCAGGCACCTTTTGATCCTCGTTCTGCATGAGTCTGTATGGGCAATCTGTTGGAAGCCCATGCCGCGCAGGATGGAGTCACATCCTGCACATCCAGTTGTCCTTCCAAACTTGTTGAGGTGCTCTCTTCTAACTGCCCATGCTCTCTTCGTTGAAGATGTCCTGGTTGTAGAAGCGCTCGGAGCTCCAACCATCGGGCTCTTGTCGATCATCTCCTCACCTTGATCTCCTCCACCAGCTTGTTCTCCAGGTACTTCAGCATGTTCACCTTCTGCAGCACGTAGTGCGACCACAGGCGGAACCACAATCGCAGGCTGTGCTGCCTGCTGCTCCACTGGCTGATCAAGTTCAGGAACTTGTCGACGAACATAGGTCCTCACGTCCCAAGGTGCTCCTCGTAGTCCATCTGGTAGAGCTTCCCATTTCTCCTCCTCGGTGAGGCTGTGGTAAGAGCTCCCGATCAGAACTCCATCTGTTGTCATTGCCAGCACACTCCCAAAACGGTTGTGTGCCCCGAGAAACCTGGCTGGTTTCATTTTCGCCATGTCTCCTCTTCGTCCTTTGCCGATGGGCTTCACCATGATGTTCTCACCAAAGACCGGCATCGGCTTGATCCAACGTTTTCCTGTTCGGCGTTCTTCAGGTGTGCGGCCGTCACTTCCAACTTTGTACCTGTTGGATTGTTCAGCAGCGTACCGTGGGATCCATGTCAAAAGTGGATGCCCTTCTTCAAGTTTGACTCCCAACTTCTTCTCCAGCATGAGCGTCACTGCACGGATACGCCACTTGATCTCCTTGACCGCAGCTTCAGCTTCTCCATTGGCCTTTGAATCGCCCACAGGTGACTCTTCCATGATGGATCGCACCACGCACCGGGCTTTTCTGGCTGCCACGGCTTTGAGAGCAACAAGCGATCTCTCTCCATCGCTCTTCAAAACGATCTGCTTGTACCCGAGCAACTCCAGGAATCGGGTCAGCACTTTCTGTCCAAC